CAGAGTTAGTTAGAAAACGTATTTCTCTGTTCTCAGTTTTACCTCGACAAGCCAGCATGTTTACACTATTCACTGAGCAGAGAATAATTTAGGAGACGGCCATAGTCTCTCAACTGTTAATGTTAGCTCTAGCATTAGCGCATTAGCTACCCACAGTGGCTAAAAGGTTTCCTCTCACGTTTGAATGACTGGGGCAGTTTACGTAACTACATACGATCATGTATATAAACGAATTTCTCTTTGTGCTGCTGAATTAGTTGCACAGTACAGCCCTGTTGGCTAAATGACTGATAATGTTTTATAATTATTTTTTTAACACCTCTTTTTAAGAACTGATATTCGTTATTTTTAATCGTTCTCTGTTGTTCTACCACTGAGACGCAGCAGAGGACGGTCATTAATATGGCCGTCGTTAATATCGCAAGAAAAAGGTCACGTGACTGAAACAGGCGAATAAAAGTCTGGACAACAAACACAAAACTAACACCTCTGAAACAAATCAAACTCTTGTGCCAGTGAGATCCCGATGAGCTGTCGCCAGGTTTGGCAGCAAGCTGTCTTCTGCTGTTCATCTTTTAGCTTTCTTCTCCCTACGCCTCAGGCCCTCTTTTGGGGCTAGCTGCAGGTCTGTTGTGTTCTGTGCTAATTTAGGCTAAGGCTGCTGCACCCAAAAAGCAGCTCAGTAAGAGGGCTAAAAATACACCGGGCTTTATCACAGCAGATGTGTTTACATGCAGCCTCTGAGCCACGTACATTCACACACAGTTAGCCATCCACCCCTTCTCTTTACTGGGGCTTTTTACTCTCTGTCGTTATCCCTTCATATGAGCTCATTTCCTCTACCCTGATAACTGCTCTGCCACAGTGCCAATGTCTGTAGTTTTTCAGTTTTTAGTTTAGTTTGTAATTTTGTAGTTTAGGTGTACTCACAATGCTGAGTTGTGCTATAGGGCAGGCAGCTGTGGGTTACATAAAGCAGCACAGTACGAGGGCTGGGTCACGCCCTGCCTCTGCCGTGCAACCGGGAAAGTCTAGCTGTGATCTCAGTCTCCTCTCCTCTCCCCACACATACACGCACCTCACCACACTCTGTTGTCATAGGAACGCTCCTTTAGCAGGCTTGCGTCCTGGCAGCTAAGCTAGCTCGCTCTCTCTCTCTCTCTCTCTCTCTGCGTCTGCTTTTTACAAAAGCGTGGAAATTGTGTCCACGCCAAAAATAGCCGCTCCGAGCACTTCCCGGAGGCCCATGTCTGACTTTATCAGTGCAAGTAGACCACAATATCTGAGAACTACTGAGTGGAAATAGACAAGCGTCTCTGTGTTCCAACCTTTAGCTTGCACCACTGAAGACAGCATGCCGCTTTGTTATGCTGCCCCACGGTTATTTGAATCTGTGAGGGAAAATATATATATATATATATATATTATATATATATATGTATGTGTGTGTGTGTGTGTGTGTGTGTGTATATATATATATATATGTGTGTGTGTATGTGTATATATATATATATATATATATATATAGATATATATATATATATATATATATATATATATATATATTAGTTCTCTGAAAGGCTGTTTTTTAATATTTCTGTTTTCACACAAAGCAGAGGGTCAGATTCCAGCATGAGGAAGATTAAAAGTGACTGCATAATTGTATTCCCAATTGCCGTGGATAATGCTGCTGAAGTGCTGCCAGGTGTATTAAGTGCACTCATTTTCTGCAGTTAGTTTTTTGTCCCTGAAGTATATAATTTTTGTTTCTCTTCTTCTCTCCTCTTCTCCATTTTTTTTTCTTCCTGTCCCTCAACCACTCCCTTTCTCATTACCTCTCCCTCTGCCCCACATTTCTCTCTGTCTACTCTTCAGAAATGAGTCGCCAGACCGCCACAGCGCTGCCTACAGGAACCTCCAAGTGTGCCCCCTCTCAGCGCGTCCCCACCCTGTCGGGCACCACCGCCTCCAACAGTGACCTGGCCAGCCTGTTTGAGTGCCCTGTCTGCTTTGACTATGTGCTGCCCCCCATCCTACAGTGCCAGAGCGGCCACCTGGTGTGCAGCAACTGCCGGCCCAAGCTCACCTGCTGCCCCACCTGCAGAGGCCCTCTGGGCTCCATTCGCAACCTGGCCATGGAGAAGGTAGCCAACTCAGTGCTGTTCCCCTGCAAGTACGCCTCGTCCGGCTGCGAGGTCACCCTCCCTCACACGGACAAGGCAGAGCATGAGGAGCTGTGCGAGTTCCGACCGTACTCATGCCCCTGCCCTGGCGCCTCCTGCAAGTGGCAGGGCTCACTGGACGCCGTCATGCCCCACCTTCTGCACCAGCACAAATCCATCACCACGCTGCAGGGCGAGGACATCGTCTTCCTGGCCACAGACATCAACCTGCCCGGGGCCGTGGACTGGGTCATGATGCAGTCCTGTTTTGGCTTCCACTTCATGCTGGTGCTGGAAAAGCAGGAAAAGTATGACGGCCATCAGCAGTTCTTCGCCATTGTGCAGCTGATTGGCACAAGAAAGCAGGCAGAGAACTTTGCCTATAGGTTGGAGCTGAATGGCCACAGGCGGCGGCTCACCTGGGAGGCCACACCACGCTCCATCCATGAGGGCATTGCCACCGCCATTATGAACAGTGACTGCTTGGTATTTGACACCTCCATTGCCCAGCTGTTTGCCGAGAATGGCAACCTGGGCATTAACGTCACCATATCTATGTGCTGAGGACTGTCACAGACACACACACACACACGCACACATAGGCATAAGCATACTCTCAAACATTTCACAACACCATGGGACACCTTGAGTTGTACTTTGGGGAGGGGGGCGATATCTGACCGAGGGAACCTTCGCTGTTGTACGTTCCAAGTATCTGATAGAACTGACATTTATCAGTTGGAGCTTGGCACGTCCAACCGGACATTATTCCTGGGTTTTCAATTTTATGCTACAATATTATTGTCGTTATTATTGTTATTATTATTATTATTATTATTATTATTATTATAATAAGTTAAAAGATAATGTATTCTGCATTTTTGAGAGCAAATGATATTGCCCTTGAAGATGGAGAAAGGGCCTTGTGAAGCGGATTTTCGCACATGTGGCTTTGTTCATGAAGATGGGTGAAGGAATGGTGCAGTAGGATGGAGAGTTGGGTTTTGCGATAGATTCTTGGGTGGGGTTTGCTCAAAAGATTAAAGTAAAATCATCCCTAGATTTTGATGTTACTCCCCCCCCCCTTCCCCAAACAGGTTGGATTTTTAGTTCAAATGAAACACTAACTTTTAAGTTGTTTCCGCTGTTGTAGATTTTATTAAAGTTTTGTTATTCCTTTCTTGACTCCCACCACCACCCTTTGGAAAGATGCTGGTACTCCATGCATGATCACTGGCTGAGACTTGACGCGTCCAGATTTCATTTGAAAATCTGAATCGTTTCAATATAAATTAACTGCAGTGTTTCCACGGGGGTTTTTCCTCCATAGGAGGGGATGTTGAGAGGGGCAGATTCTGTATGGATCTGATGTCGCCACATCAGGCTTGAAGTCCTCACATATGCCCCATCCCTCTTAGATGTCTAGCTTCTTCTCCGTTAGCCTCCTTTTTTCTGACCAGGTGCTATTTAACAGCAGACTTGCGCCTGAGAATGTTAAGTCATTTTATTGAAAACAGTTAACAGAATGGATTCTGCTTCCATTTTGCAGCGAGCATGAGGCCACTGTAAGGTATACAAATATGTTGTCTCAGTCGTCGTCTGGAAATAGTGATCTAGTGATCTCTTCAAATGCAGAGGACAAGGCTGTACTGAATATCAGACTAGAAACGAGGGCAATTTCTACAGTTATTATTGAGATTATTGTTATCATTTTGTAATGACTTACAAGAAAAAGGAATGAAAAGGCTGTTGTAACATTGTGGCTAATCTTCAGTGTTTGTATATAGTGTTGTTCTTCAGAAGACCTCATGTCTTCTCTTTTTGTAAGTACAATTTTTTTTTTCCCCGTTTGTATGTCTGTCTTTCTGTTTTTGTGAGGAGTGGGCGAAGCAAAAGCCAAACATCTCTGTGGATACATTGTACTGTTGCTGGTCCTGATCTGTTTTTATTTTGTTTTAATGTTTGTTTTTGTTTGTTTTGTTCTATTTTGCCATTAAATAAATCTATCTTTTTCATATCTTTCGTGTCTTGCCGTCTGTTTGATTAAATAAATTGTCTGCTCTGTTTTTTGGCATTTATTTTTGTTGAAGCCTTGCAGGACAGGTCAGGACTGTAGATATCTGAACTCAGCTGCACGGAAGAAGAATCTCACACAAGACAATAACTGCATTGGTTTCTCTGTTTCATGCTGCAGAGTTCAGTGGTCAAATTTGTGAAAAACAGACAAATGAAAACTTTTGTTCCTGGAACAGTGACTTTGAAGTGGACAGGGTTGTTTTTTGTAAATAAGAATTTAATAGCGTGTCTTATTGCATTGTGTATTGTGCTGTTGCACAAGCGGGGTGTAGTAAGATCTTGAATTTAAGGTGTGTTGAACATGGAATCAAGATAATCCCATTGAACTTGCGGAGGAATCAGAGCCTGCAGGGTTACTGGTCTCCCTAGATCTTGGGGCATCTCTGAACATGCCTGCCGCTCAGATTTTTGCTTCTCAGATGAGTAAATCAGGGTGAACAGTGAAGATTTAAGACTAGGAGAAACCTGGTGTTTCACAATTGCTGACAAACCAGCCTGGATAAACAGCCATTGCTATAGAATCAACCCTTCTGCCTTTGGAAGGAGAGCATCTTACAAAATCATTTTAGTCTAGAGAAGCTCAGATGTGGCAACAAGAGATTTAGTATTTCCCATCATGTACTGTACAAACAACCAATCAAACTGGTGCTGCACAAACCAGGTGTCATCATTGAACCTATACTGGCGGTTATTTGTGGAGACCACAGACAACTGAACATAATGATCATCAGTATGGACAAAAAATAAACTGAAGAGCCAATGCAGTATTCACAGAATTAGCACTCTTTATTCTGATTGTATTATTTGTTAATACAGCTGCTCAACTGTTCAGTTTCAGCTGTGTTGATAATCAGTTAATAAAGAGAAGCTCATTAGACATTTGTTTTCTTCAGAAGAATTAATTAGTATTTATAACTGTCTGTCAAAGTTGTGCGACTGGCTCCCGAAACGATTAAAAGAGGATCTCTTACGGTAGCATTGATGCGTTTCTTATACAAGGACTTCTAACAGTAATTACAATTAGCAATATCAAACTAATGCCAGCTTGTGACATTCTGAATACCAAGGGGAGAAAATAACGGTGTTTGTTATTAAAGATGAAAGAAAAAATGAGCAGAAAGAAAACAGCTAAAGCAAGTGCTTCATTTTCAGTGTTGGAACATCAAACTCCATGCCAACTCCATGAGCTGAGTCTGTTATTGACTGTATGTAGCGCTCTGTGTGAACCATGAAAGCCTGTCTCAGTACCTCATCAGTGCATGTGTGTGTTTGTGCGCCCTGGAGTCTCAGAGTTTGCTGGCTATCTGTGGGTGAGTGATGGTGGCAGCAGGGAATCCTCCATCAAAGGCAGCATTGAGGACCTCATCTAAAGTGCTGGCTGTTACAAAGTCCAGTTCTACTCGTATATGGCTTGGGATCTCCTCCAGGTCCTTCTCATTGCGCTTGGGGAGGATGACCCGCCTGAGACCAGCCCGGTGAGCCGCCAGGACTTTATCCTTAATGCCTCCCACCTATTAAATAAAAAACAAGAATAAAATAGCAATCAAGCAATAGAACATGAGGGGGAGTGTATTCTGCTATGGATCATCACGGCTGTGATGTTATTCCCAATAACACACACAACTGCTTTTATACAACAGCTCTCAAAATCAAAACAAAGGTAAGAAGAACTGAACATTGCATCAAATGTGCTTTACTGTAGGCCATTCCTTCCACCACAAAAAGTAGTAGCCTTTTATGTTAGACAGACATAACACCTGCAATATCAGGTTCTGGTTTTTCAGCACTTGCCAGATTTACTTAAATGTTTTTTTTCCCAGCCAGTCTGTAAAGCAGACATTTTTAGTCTAAAGCAGGGCTGCACAACTCCAGTCTTGAAGGGTCAGTGTCCAGCATGGTTTGTTGATTTTGCTGCTCAAACAACTGATTCAACTCCTCTGTTAATTGGCAGGTTTATTGGGTGTGTTTGAGTAGAGAAACTACCAAACTGTGCCAGACACCAGCCCTCTAGGACTGGAGTTGTCCACCCCTGGTCTAAGGCGTACTTTGTGTATACAATGTGCCACTGTGCACCCCCACCAACAACAGCCCCCAGCACCACTCGCTCTACCACTGTCTACACCACCCACTACCCCCAGTCCTTAATTTCACTTAACTAACAAGAACCATGTCTTATCAGAACCTTTTGCTGGCTTCCTCCACAGCCATCACTGACCTTAAGTGATGGCTGTGGAGGAATGTGATGGCTGTGGAGGATGGTCATGAACTGGTAAAGGCTGACACATACATTCAATTTTTATAATGTATAAAATTTAATGGGTTTTTTCATAATCTACCATTTTTAAAAAAGCATCATTTCAGGTATGACCAAAGCAAATATGATATAATGTAATATATAATAAACTGACAAAATTAAAAATACTAAGTAGAGATGCATCCTCTAAAATCGAAGTTGAGTTAATGTCCCCTTCGGCCCCCATTAAGAACCACTGCTGTAAGTAATTTCACAGCCCATCTTATTTACCAAACAACACTCTGGAATTTGATGTAGGGCTGCTGACATAATCTTCTTCAGAATCTGACCAAATCAGCTGCAGGTCAAATATTATCTCAACGAAGTTATCCAGTGTATTCATTTTCTGTTGTTGTGTTCTGTACATACTGAATAAGAATATTAGTAATCCGTCGCTGCAACATAAATCGAGTGAGTTGCAACCAGTGCCCAATAGAATGGTACAGTTACTGTGGGGGATTTATGGGGGGAACGGTTCTCAGCCATGCATATTGTGCTGTCAGAACTCTATACAATTCTATACTATCTCGATCTGTGATATTCATTCTTTACTGTCTCAGACAAAGAAAACAGGCCAGCAGCTGTAGTATACACGCATAATGTGTACCAACGAAAGACCGCAATAAGACAAGAGTTTTTAAACCTATTGCATCATATTTCCAGTTTAAAGCAAGAGCCCAGTGGAAGCTGAAATTTCCAATTAAACTAATAAAAGACTCAATTTAGCCTTTTTCAAGTTGTGCCGCTTAAATATTTTAAAAGGACATTTAGTGGGCATCTTATAAGCTGGCTACAGGGTTTAACAATGCTGTTCAGACACTTTTTACTCCTGATACTCAGATTACCAAACCGGCTGATGAATGCAAATGTTCAAAATGACTTATGAAGACTTATAAAACAGTCATAAGAGTTTCTTAGGGAAAAACTGATATGAAACACCATCCGTAGCAAAAAAAGTGTGTAGACGTTTCCTCACCGGCAGCACCAGTCCTCTCAGAGTGATCTCCCCCGTCATGGCCACATCGGAGCGCACCAGACGTCCACTGAACAGAGAGGCTAGGCATGTTACTATGGTAACGCCGGCAGAGGGTCCGTCCTTGGTGACTGCACCCGCTGGGAAGTGCAAGTGGATGTCGTTTCCCTCCAGAGGGTCTGCACAGCCTGCAACTGCACCCACACACAAATAAAATGGATCAGTCTCTCTCACTGCAGACACAGCACTAAATGAAATGTGACCACAGCATCAGCTGACTGGAGGACAGCAAACCTCCTACATGGAAACTAAAATTCAACCTAAAAAAATGTGTTTTTTTTTACATATTTCCTTAAAAATACTGAATGAATGTGAACAGGCCTTATTAGATGATCTGTGTGTGTGTCTCACTGTTGGTTAGCTGATAGGTCTTGGCATTGCTGCGGAGCCAGGTGATGGCCAGATGAGCTGACTCCTTCATGACATCACCCAGCTGTCCAGTTAGGGTGAGCTGGCCCTCACCCTCCATACGACTGGCCTCTACAAACATGATCTCTCCACCCAGGGGAGTCCAGGCCAGCCCTATAGCCACACCCGGCAGAGTGAGACGCTCGGACACCTATGAACACACACGCCGCATACACAAGACTAAAAATTAGTTTTTTCTAAAGGTCTGGTTCGACCCACTCTCTCATGTTCCTTGGAGACAAACTGAGGAACAGTTAAGTGTGCCTATCAGACTTCAAGATGTATTGTTTGCCGGATTGTCCATAAAATTCTGTTCTCTAAACTTTGGTCCCATTATGACCAACACTATCACAAATTTCAAAGCCATGGAAAAATATCTTGGTTATAGTGACCAAGATCATTTACAAACCCCACTTTGGCATAAAAGGAATATAAAATCTGGTACCAAACCTTTTACGTCAGAGCAATGGAGAAGACAGAATATTAAAACTCTTGATGATATATTTAATTCAGAGGGGATGTTAAGCTTTGAAAATTTAGTAACAAACTTCAATATACCAAGATCTTCCTTCTTTTTGTATTTACAATTACGTTCAGCCCTTAAAGCATATGGAATTCCATGGGGAACAAGCCTCAAGCCACATCCAATTTACAGCTGGGTTGTTAATGCGCCACCACATGGTCTTGTATCAACTATATATTCTCACCTTACTGAAACGTTGTATAAGAAGCTCCCAATTCAGTCTATCTGGGAAAAGGAACTATCTGTTAGTTCAATTGATTGGAACATAGTATGACGAAATTTATTTCATGCATCAAAGAACCCCAATCATCAACTGATCCATTTTAAATATTGTCATAGGTTATATTGGACACCACGAAAACGCTTTCTTACAAAAACTGCAGTACATCCCTACTGCAACTATTATCCACAACAACCAATGGGAACTTTTTTGCACATGGTGTGGGAATGTGGGGATGTTAATGACTTCTGGATAAAGGTTACTACCATATTATCTGCCCTGGTTAGACAAGAAATTCCCATGGGTCCAGCTGTATTATTGCTAAACGATGACTCCAATTTAAACTTAACAGGCAAACAAAGGAAGATGTGGCTCGCTGGTTTAACATCGGCTAAAAAAAATATTGCACAGAGGTGGCTTCACCCACATAATCTAAGTGTACGACATTGGCTATTTCAACTGCATGACATAGTTATGTTAGAATTGGCCACAGCTAGGATTAATAAAGTTAAAACATCTACTTTTGAGACATGGAAACAGATTTGTTGTGATGTGACAAAAAGATCGGAACAAAGGCTATGAGGTACATCTTGTAAGCGAACATTCTTTTTTCACTCTTTTCATTTTATTTTTGAAATGTCATCCTTTGCACTAAATCTTACTTAGTAAATAGTATAAAGTAAGTACAGAAAACAGGGATGGATGGACCAGTGGGACGGGGAGGGATGGGAGGGGTAAGGGGGTTGTTTTTTTTATTTCCTGCAGTTCTGAAATGTTGTGATAACATGCTGCTTGATTAACAGGAAACAAATAATAAAAAAAAAATGATCACAAAAAAAATATTTTTTTTTCAAACTGTTCATTTTAATTAACTAATGAAACGTCCAAATCAACCAACTGTCCTTATCATATTTTCGTGCCAGGATGGGGGTTAATGTACACACAAAGCCAATGTACAAAACTACACACAGAAAAAGCTTATGCTGCAAACGAAAACAAAAAACAACTCTTAACAGCTCTTTTTATCTGGCATATATTTTACGTTCTCTGTAACTGGAATACATTTTGCCCTCATCAAAGTCGGCTGACTGATAGCTAACATGCTAACACGCTAACCAACCCATAACTTTCAAAGACAGGAATTAAGTTTGAAAATTCAATTCAAGACTCACTGTAAAACTCCATCATACAAAAGGTGCACTATGTAAGATTTTTTGTTAAACTGAAAGAAGTGGACACACCAAAATACGTTCACCCTGTAAATCCTGAAATAGAAATTTAAATGTCTTTTTGAAGCTTCGAACATCTGTGTTAGCTTGGTGCTAACATAACATGCAAACCCTATCCCAAAAAAGTTGAGACAGTAGGAAAAATGTAAATACAAATAGACAGCAATTACTTGCAAATCCTTTTTTCAGCTGTATTCAACTCAAAACAGTACAAAGAAAAGATATGTATGTTTCAACTAATTAACATTCCTGTTTTTGTATATATATGTTTATTCTAAATTTGATGCCTTGGGTACTTGGAACACATCAGTCTATCTCAGATAAGCTTTAGCCCTGAGGTGTCGGCACCAGCTTTGCGTAGAAGTCTTAACTTGCATTTGTAGATGCTGCGACAAACTGTGACAAGAGCTCTCTTAAGTATTCTCAAGCCCATGTGGTCATATTCATTACAGAAGCATGTCGGTTTTTAATGCAGTGCCATCTGAGTGATCAAAGGTCACAGGCACTCAAAAGTGGTTTTGGACTTGCCTTTTACGTACAGAGATCCTTCCGGATTCTCTGAATCTTTTAATAATGTAGAAGGTGAAATCCCTAAATTCTTTGCAATTGTGTGTTGTGAAATGCTGTTCTTAAACTGCTGGACTACACGCTCATGCAGTTTTTTGCAAATTGGTGAACCTTAATCCCGCCCTTGCTCGTAAACCACTGAGCCTTTTGTGAATGCTCCTTTTATAACCATTCATTACTGTATCACCTGTTCACCTGTAGGAAGTTCCAAATGAGGTATTTTTGCTCACTCTGCAAACTTCCCAGTCTTACACTGCCTCGGTTCCGACTATTTTGGAATGTGCTGCAGGCATCAAATTTGGAATTATTGTATATTTACAAAAATCTATGAAACTGATGTAAAATATTAAATATCTTTGTGCTTAGACAGTTTATAAATCACTGCTTTCTGATTTTATTTGCATTTTACCTACTGTCCAAATTTTTTTGGAATTGGGTTTGTATGGCCGGATGAACAAAGTTAATGAAATGACTGGAATATCCTACGTTTGCATGCCTCTAGTAGGGAGCCCCTGAAGTCACATGCACACAGCAGAATACAGACTACAGAAAGAAAATGTGCACAGTTATTCCTAATATGTGGTATTTTGTGTTGTGATTTAAAGAAATTAAACTGTCAAACATTATTATTTGAATTTTATTAGTATTATTCAGTCAATAACACTGACATAAACGTTGAAAAGATGCCACAGTTTAATCAAGCCAGACCCTTACATTGGTTCAACTGAATTATTGAAAAAGGAATGAATCGTTCCCAAATCAGACATCACTAACCTATAACTATGAAACAAGCTACCTAGCAATCAACCAGCCCTCTGGGATCCATATGTGTTCAGCAAAGCATTTATTGTCTCATAAGTCAGTAGAAGGGGTAGAAACTTTGTGGCAAATGTTGCCCCAGTCAGATCTATTTTTATAGTTGGCCAATGAATAGCCATCTTGTAGGGTTTCAATTCCTTTTGAGCACTACTGTATTAAAGTCCCGTACAGTGCAACAGTTGCAACTTTCTGAGCAATGAAATATACTGTTATTGTTCAACAACAACAGAAGTACATAGAAGATGCTGTGACATCCTAAAAGATGAGGAGTATTGTTAGAGCTGAAGGTTGGTTTGAGCTACTTCTCAAAGCAGCTCAAGCAGCTCCTTTTGAGAGGTTGCTAAAAATCCTATGAGCATGGCTGGAATGTGGGACTCCAGGCAAGCGGCCACTTTCTGCTTCGAGCAACTAGCTACACCCACCAACACAGAGGGAATGCTCCCAATGGTTTGTGAACAAATGAAGGAAAGTGAATCATTCAAACAAGAGAAACAGGTCAATTTTACACTGAAAACAAAGGTTTATGAGGCTTCTTACCTCCATCTCAAAGATCTGCGGCCCCAGAATGTCCTTCAGGGCAACCTGGTCAATGACAATGGGCATCTCTGGAGGAGCTGCCATGTCAGAGTCCACTGCTTTCCCCTCTTGCTCCTGATCTGATGATGATGTGAGAAAGAAAAAAAAAATCAGGTATGAAAAAAAATAACAATAATGACAAAAATATAGCAACACTAAAGTTTTTATTTCTCATAAAAACAGAAGTGCAGTGTCATCTGGGTGACTTACAAGAACATCAAAATAAAGTTAGGGTAGCCTGGAATGAAGAGGATCTGCCAAGTATTTGAAATAATTTAATCTCGCGTTCCATTTACTTCAAACTGACACCTTTACATGAGGCAAAGCAAGAGAAGATGGTAATTGGAGAGTGGGCTACAAATAAATGAGAGGGGGCTACTTATTAGTGGCACAGAAGCCCAGTCAGGGGTGAGAGCAGGTGCTGCTCTTCAGTTCTGGGAGCTGCAAAAACGAGCGGTCTGGACATTCACCATAATGAGGGTGATAACCTCATGGGGCGTTTGCTTACAGAATGTGTGTCTAAACTGTTCTGCATGTGTGTGTGTGTGTGTGTGTGTGTGTGGGTGTATGTGGTGTTCCAGCCCGTGGTGAGTCTCATTTGTATGCACATGCCACTGGCTGCCCACAGATCATGTGACTTGACTGTTAATGACATATGAAGAAGGAGTTCCATGTAGATTTACAACAGTGAGCATTCAGTCTGAACAAAGAGAGCGAGAGCGAGAGAGAGAGAGAGACAGACAGAAAGAGGGAGGAGAAGAGAGGGGAGAAGGGGGAGAAAGAGAGAGGGAGAAAAAGAAAGAAAACGAGCTAGCGAGAGTAACAGCAAGAAGGAGACAGAAAGAAAGAAAAACGAAAAAGAAAAAAGAAAAACGAAAAAAGAAAAGAAAAAGAAAGGGCAATGAGAGAGAGAGCAAGACAGACATGGAGAAGGAGAGAACGAAAAAGAAAAAGTGAAAAGAGAATGAGAGAGAAAGACAGAACGAAAAGGCAATGAGAGAGAGAGCAAGACAGACACGGAGAAGGAGAGAGAACGAAAAAAAAAGTGAAAAGAGAGAATGAGAGAGAAAGACAATAAGAGAGAGGGACAAAGAGAATGAGAGAAAGAGAAAGACAATAAGAAAGAGAATGAGAGAGAGCTTGTAGAAGAGTATTTAATGTTTCTGCTTTAAACTCAGAGTAATCTATAAAAGGGGAGGGGCCAAGTACTCTAATGAAAGGTTCTTGCAGCGCATTCTCAGCTCTGTTCTATGCGCAGACTATGAAGGAGGCATTTGGACAGAAAGAGACAGCAGAAGCAGAATCATGAGCAGCAGGCACACGTCTCTGATCACAGTCACACACACAAACACACCCCTTGAAGCTTTATTCTGGCCGCCTATTATATCTGTTACCTGGCAACAGAGGCACATATTCAATGAGTTGGGGATGAGTTAAGAGAGCTGCGCTAGAGTCTCTCAATCAGCCCTTCTGTCTGCTCTCTCGGCCGGGCCACGGAGGACAGCAGAGGGGAGGGGCAGAGGGAAGAGAGGAGCTGGATCAGACTGAACACAGGCTCAGCAGCACGCTCCCCCACCCCCACTGTGCTAAATGGCAGTGTGATCACTCGTCTTACACAGGAGCAGCTGCACTGAGGCAATGGGAGGGAGAGGGGGCACACAGCCGGCTGTTAGCGCACTTTACCCCCTCCAGCACACTGCTAAAGAACCTGATGACGGGCATGTGTATATGTTTGTTTTTTTATCTTTTCAGGACAAAAATGCCCTGACTTTGTAGGAAACTCCTCAAAAAACAGGGCTAACCTGCAATGTCAGAGGTAACAAAGTGGTCCATGAAAAGGGACTTTTATTTTTTTTAACTAAAAAGTTATGTTTTCTGCTTGTTCCTAAAGATAAGAAATCTAAAACTTGTTGTTGGTTGTTTTGACTGGAAATTAAATAAATGAAGGGGGGTGTCTGACTGCTGTACAGTACTATTTGTATGACCCCATGTCCTCATGTTGTGTGTGTGTTTCTTCACGCTGGTAGAGAGAGACTGTGAGTATATCTAAAGGAGCGTGCACGCGTTTACGTCTGAGCCACAGTATTTGTGCGTCTGTCTGTGTATGTGTGACTGTATGTCTGTGTATTTCTGTCTGTGTATGACTCTGTGTGAGTGTGTGGAAATTTCACTGTGCAGTTTTGTAGTTTGCAGTGTGAGAATTCTCTTTGTGTAGCTGGGTTCTTTTTATAAGCACTGTGGTGAGTAAGTGGGATTGTGCCCAGCTCAGCACTCTTTTCACAGAAGGGAAATCACAGCCATCAGTGTTGGTAAATGTGACGTGCCACTAATCACTAAGATACTGCTCTCATCGCATGAGTATGCATACACACACACACGCGCACACACACACACACACACACACACACACACACTGAATGATGCAAACAAGCCTTCCTTAATCATCATCACAGGCTTTGTAAACAAAGCCTTACCTTCACATTAAAAATCAAAACAACATTCTACCACCAACCTTTCAGCCCCTTAAACTGCAGGCTTATCATTCAGTTATTAATCTTAACGCTGGCTTTACATGAAACTTTCATGCAACATTCAGATCCAAGACATGTGAAACAATTTTCTTGTAGCTTAACAGTTACTCAAAGCAATTCAAAAACAATTAAAATTGAACGCACCACACTGAATTCTAATTATTCTCAAGAGAGGAGAAACCAAGCCACTCAGATAATGATGCAACAGGCTAGCAAAGCAGAACAAATACTGGCACAAGATGCTGTTCAAATAGCTGTCATGTTAATATTAGCTGGTTAGCTAACTAGCAAAACTAACTAGCAAAACTAACTACGTGGCAATTCAAATCAATCAGTTGAAATGATTGATTTTGACGAGATCATGTGATTATCTGTGTTTTGACTGGATGTTCCATTTTCACAGTTGAGACGGTTTAAACTGCTGCACCTGTGTTTCAAACAAGTTTCATGTGAGTTGCGTGAGGCTTTACACTTATACAATTCAAATGAAATGCTTTCAAAATTTTACCTTCCTAAAAAGCAAGACTTACCATTATTATTATTATTATTATTAAGGCATGACTTTTGACATAGCATCTATACCAGTATGCCACAAATAGGTATAGATAATGCAACATACAAAACACAAAAAAGGTTGGCCAGATTAGCTAAACGGCTGAGTGAGGGGCATTTCAGTGAAAAAGCGACAGTCCCTGATGTGTAGTCAGTTGCAGTCCAAGGCAACGTTAGTCCAGTTATCAAATAAGTGGACATAAGAGAGTGATATGTAAGGAACGGGGTTAGCCTTTAGCCCAGCATGGACACCAGCACACTTGCCACACGTCTGTTCCTTCTCATGCTGCCTGCTGCACCAGACAAGGCCACAGACTCAAGGCCTGGTCCTCGCAACAAGAAGCTTCTGTAAGACGTAAGATGTTCCAAATGTAAGCATCAATGTCTTGGACGTGCATATGAGACAAATGTCTTTTAGAGAAAATTGGATATGAAACAACATGTAGCACCATGTTTGCTGGACCCAGACAAGCCGCTGCATTCCTATGTGTATGTGCCATAGGTTTATCTATATGCTATTCAGATTAGTTTTCACTATGTTAAAATATTTAAAATTTTGTTCAGTTATTAACACTAGAATGCGCAAAGGGGGTCTGATTTCCATGTTTCCATTTCCATATTTCATATTGTAGCTTCCGATTTTTTTTTTAACTCTGCCTATGACTAGTCTTTGCAAAGAGGTTCAAAAAGACCCCTATAAATTTCTTATTTCTTCTTCCTTGACATTCACATGATGTTTCAGCCTACAAACAAGGCTTTTATCAGATGTCCTTGAAGGCCTTGCATGTAGGCTGAAACATCATGTGAATGTCAAGGAAGAATGTCATGTTTTTTTTTACCAAATCGTAAAAATCAAGTGTCAAACCTTTTAAGTTGAGAACTTTGAACTTCATTAGCACTTCACCTATAGTTGGTGGAAACACCTTTTTTCTTTATCTTGTTTACTGTATATGTACACCAGAAGTGATCAAACACACATGACTGAAACATTACAAATATTTGTGTATCATCAAATTTCTAAATTATTTTATTAAGTTGAAACTAACGATAAAAACAGGGTAGCTTTTCTTAGAAGAAAACCACAGATTCCAAAACAGGTCTCTCAAACCCCCTTCATTTGTGTAGGTTTGAGTCATGCATTCTAGGATTAAATATGTTCTTCTTAAAAGCCACTAATAATCCACTGTCATAAAAGCATCCAAAAAACTCTACATCATGATATATATACACCGAACCATCAGAAGGTTTAATTATACTGTGACATAAATTTTTGGCCAAATTTATGTCACGGTTATCAAGACAATTATTTGGGAACTACTACAAAATGTTGACAAATATGCAAGTTATGCAGTTATAAAAATGAGGATCTGAAGCATGCGCCCAAATACAGACCCTGGTTTAGCAATGGTTTGCATTTAGGCTGGGGCTCATCTAAATGGGCCAGCACTCGATCAAGCTCTCTATGTGGTGTTGCAGGGAGCCCCTTAAGAGAAGACTCTGTGGCGGTGAGCTGCACTGTTACCTGCTCCGGGCTCACTTGACGAGTCTGTTCTCGACAACTTATGACCTTCTGCCACCTTCACAGCAACCGCCCGACAGATGGCCCCAATCTTCCTCTCCAAGGAACGCACACCGGCCTCCCGAGTGTACCTACACACACACACACACACAAACACACACACACACACACACACACACACACACTTGCTACTCTCAAATATTGACATTTTGATTGCATTTTGACAAATAATGATCCATAAACAGCCAATTAGGTAATTAGGTGTTCACACAACACACACCCTATTCAGTCTCTTTCAGAGACTGGGTAGTTGTGGTAATAAATGGCTTACACACTCTATCTGAACAAATACGAACAAAAAAACACTTTTAAATCAAAGCAGAGAAAATGGTGCCTTTCTCCCCACAGTAGTTCTCCTACACCAGCCCTCCTCTGACCCATCCTCTGGGCTTTGATCGTACTCTTCACAGTTGGGGCCAGTGCCAGGCTTACTCACTAATTGCCACTACGGCAGCAGCAGGGAAGAGAGTGCATGTGGGTGTGGATGTGTGTTATTCTTACTTTATGTCTGTCTGTCTGGGTCATTAGCTCCGAGTCCTGAACCCTGCTGACCTGATTTACCTGTCTGGATACGGTAATCTCCGCTGTGTCCTCACTGCAGGCTCTTTAGCGTGTGTTATACACACGGGCCATAGACATGTGCCCAATTTTATGGTTCCTATGTTATTTGTTTCTTACGTACTGTTGTTTTGGTGTTGTGATTATATTTGTGAATCACTAAGAAAGTTGGTCATGTGACTAATAAAACGCTGATATTTACAGCAATTTACAGGACCTGTAGTGAGTATGTATTGTGACTCTCCTTGATTAAATACATTGTGAGATTTTCTGTCCATAGCCCTTTCACAATAAAGGCTGTTTCAATCAGTGTGATGTTGATATTCTCCCGTTTTTAAACCTAAATGCATATAACACCTTTGATATTTGTATGTTTATTTGCCTACCTGTAGCACTATCTGTGCGTGCACTTTTCTGATGACCCATATCTCGACATTAGATAACAGCAAATATGTGTGTGTGTGTGTGTGTGTGTGTGAGAGAGTGTGTGTATTAGTATTAAGTAATTCATTACAAATTACTAATTACTTCTCTCAAATTATAATGGAATTTACTCATTATAATATCATTTTCCTGGAAAAAGTAATCTCACTTCTCATTACTTCACTTTTATGTTACTCTGTGAAACACACTGACATCTGTACCAACTGGTAAGTACAATAGAAAACCTAAAAGTCATTTTCTGTAATTTATTAAGAAATAGCCAATCGCTGACTTTGAACAACACAGCCAGTTATGCAGATTAAAAGTATGAATGGCTGAGGATCTCTCTTCTACAGCACAGGGTTCTTTATCCATCATATTAGGATGATTCTTTCATATTAGGATGATTAGATACTTCGGCAGTTTGTTCGCAAGTTTACAGTGCTTCCTGTGCTGTGCTGATCATTTTCACAGAGTTATGCAGTCAGCTGCCACATGTAGAACATGTGCACAAATTATGTATAAGAACATACAAGGATAATCTATATAGAGGAAAAGCAATCTGGTGAGAGTGTGTGTGTGTGTGTGTGTGTGTGTGTGTGTGTGTTTGAGTATTTACTTGCTGATGATCTCCTGTGTAGTGTCTTGAGGGATTTGTAGCTGTTGAGGGGTGAGGCCATGCTGCTCCAGCTGATGGGGGATCAGGTGCCGATGAGCTATTTCCACTTTCTCCTCCTGTGTGTAACCTGCAATGTATGGACACACACAGATGTACACACACACTATAAGAACAAAAAGCACAATTCTCCATTCATGCAATTACAAAGCCATCTGCTTAACTGCAGGCCCAACTGAAATGTGTGCCATTGTTGTGAAAATCAGTAATCAATACATCAGTGATCAGTCATCAATAAGCCATGCCCTCTTTTGCTGAGTCCCTCCCTTTCAGCCATGAACTCTGACCTGGCACTTGCAGGACCTCCATTCTGTCCAATAATGCGGGGGGGATGGTTGCGGTGGTGTTCGCCGTGGCAATGAAGAGAACTTGCGAGAGGTCAAAGGCCACATTGAGGTAGTGGTCAGTGAAGCTGTGGTTCTGCTCTGGGTCCAGTACCTGATTGTGAGTACAGACAGAAAGAGAGCCATCATATCCAACAGCTCTTTCACTGCACTAGACCTCGTGCTGAAAAAAAAAAACCCTCCAGATGGATGATCAGAATTGGCCAATTTTTGCTCCAAACACTCAAGTGACAATGGGCCAATTTTTTAATGTTATTTTAGCCAATCATTGTGGCAATTACATGCACAGATAAAGTGCACTGTACTTGAATGCTGCTGCTGCACCAAATAACAAGTCATTGACCAATCTGGCTGGAAAGAAATGGGAATCGGCAAAATTCATGATCAGTACATCCCTAGTATGAACTCAAGCAGGAACAATATATCTAATCAAATAATCCATTTCACTGCTTTATTACGATCAAGCAGCACAAAGTCAAACTAATTTATTTAAAGCCCCAGGGAACCTAAACCTATGGTTTCTGCCTAGTCCTTTTCAAGCCTAAAAGGAAAACTCTCCTCTTTTGATGTAAACAGGGCAGTCCTAATATTGTGTAGCACAAACGTAAGCAGCATCTTCTCCAATCGCTTATGTGGCTTCTCCCCAAGCAGCTTTAAGAAAACTGTGCTCCTCTCTGGTCTCTCTATTTGAAGCAGGGACACTTACTGAGCAGAAGCTAACAACCAAGTGAAAACTAACCTAGTAAACTAGCTATCAAATTAGCTCAGTCTGCCTGGCATCTGACCGTCCGTCTGTTCAGCCTGCCATGCCAGACTTCCCTGGATGTACATCCAGCAGTAAAGTGAATACACATACATTATATAAATAAACATGTTGGGACACTTACAGGAGCTTTTATGACACCCCATTCTAAATCCATAGGCATTAATGTGGAGTTGGTCCCCACTTTGCAGCTATAACAGCTTCCACTCTTCTGAGAAGGCTTTCAACAAGATTTTGGAGTGCGTCTGTGGGAATTTTTGCCCATTCATCCAGAAGAGCATTTGTGAGGTCAGACACTGATGTTGGACGAGAGGGCCTGGTTCACAATCTCAGTTCTACTTCATCCCAAAGGTGTTCGATCAAACTCACCCAGCCATGCCTCCATGGACTTTGCTTTGTGCACTGGGACACAGTCATGCTGGAACCAAAAAGGGCCTTCCCCAGAATGTTTCCACAAATTTGGAAGCATGCAATTTTCCAAAATGTTTTGGTGTGCTAAAGCATTAAGATCTCCCTTCACTGGAACTAAGGGGCCTAGACCAACCCTTGAAAAACAACCCCATAGCGTTATCCCTCCTCCACCAAACTTTACAGTTGGAATAATGCAGTCAGGCAGGAAATGTTCTCCTGTTATTCGCCAAACCCAGACTTGTCCATCAGACTGCTAGATAGAGAAGTGTGATTGGTCACTCCACAGAATACATTTCCACTACTCCAAAGTCCAGTGGCGGCGTGCTTTACACGACTCCATCTGACACTTGGCATTGTGCTTGGTGATGTAAGGCTTGCATGCAGCTGCTCAGCCATGGAAATCCATGCTATGAAACTCCCAGTGCACAGTTTTTGTACTGATCTTAATGCCAGAGGAGGTGTGGAACTCTGCAGTTTAGGGGTGCGGGAAAAAATCGCTTCTTAGATGCATCGCGATGCGGACGTGAACGATTCTGAATCGATTCACAAATGTCAAAAATCGATTTTCTAAATATTACATTTATGTTGATGGATCGCAAAAGGCGGAACTTGGAAGTGCAGACAGTCTGTGACAGCACATAACAAAAACATAACTGGATGAGCGAGAAATACGACCGGCTCCCTCTGCATTAAAGCCAGGTTAGGTCAACACAAATGATAAGAAGAGCCATTTTGTCCTTTCAACAAAAATCAAACCACCTTGGGAGCCACAACATTTAATGTCCAGTATGTCTCAGTATGTGAAAATGTCCTAGTATGGGCTAAACAATATAAACAAGAGCGCAGACTAACTTTGCTCTGCTTTAAGCTTCAGCTATAGCCGCTTTTCTTCCATCTCCGCCAGAAAAATTTTCCTCAGACGTACATCAGTTTCTTGCAAAATGTTCGACTGTTTTCCGAGGCTGAAGTCGCTTCTTATTCTCCAGCTTCTTGTTCGAATTTACCCGTTCCACCTTAAATTCTTACTGAGGCACCGAAAGTAAATGCGGCACCATTTAAGGTGGAACGGGACAATTCTAAAGAGAAGCGACTTCAGCTTCGCCACTTTTTAGTGTGTGACAGTCTCTCGTTGCAGATTTACCGTACCAGGAAACCAACTGCGCTGCTTATAAATGTGAATAACGCATCGTTGCTAGACCTGCAGTCTGCACGGCGGTTCTCAGTCGTTGTGAAACAGAGCTTTCACGCTATGTTGCACACGTCCTGTCTCAGGGATATTTTACTGACACAGCGATCCCCCCCCCGTCTCTACAACGAGACCAAAACCGAAGTTATAAAATCACTAAAGAAAACGAGTAGAATAGCTGTAACATGTGCTGAGTGGACATCCATTACCACTGGATCTTATTTCACCGTAACTGCGCATTTTATCACAGATGAGTAACAGCAGCTTCTTGTGCTCCAAACAAGAGCAGTGAATGAGAGCCTTCTAGTTCACTTGCCACATCACTTCCATTTGTTTTATTAAAAAAGATATTGGAAGTAAATTCATTATGGATCATTAAAAATACTCTGCTTTAAAAGTACCAAGTCACTTTAAATAACAACACTGAGTCACTTAGTCACTTTAAAATGTATAAAAAAAATGTTGTCTCTATATTCTGTGTATATTTTGTGTATATTTAATATATTTCAGTTGGTTTTTCTTGTATTTTTATTTTTACTTATTTACTTTCTGTAGAGTGATTAGCTGAGCCTCACCACAAACATTTCAATGCATAAATTTCCTGACATGTTGTGCAAATGACAAATAAACTTGAACTCGAAACTTGAGCTCACACAGTGAGAAAATATAAATGCTATATAAAAAAAAAAGGTGCATCGATAATCGTTTTATAATCGCATCGCAGCCCTCTGAATCGTAATCAAATCGAATCGTGAGGTGCCTAGAGATTCCCACCCCTACTGCAGTTACTGAGTCAGCAGAGCACTGTGACTTTTATGCACTTTGCGCCCAAGCGCTCGGCAACCCGCTTGTAACTTTACGTGGTCTGATACTTCGTGGCTGAGTTTCTGTGGTTCCTAAATGCTTCCACTTTTCAGTAATAACACTCACAGTTAATCGAGGAATATCTAGAAGGGAAGAAATTGAGTGAACTGATTTGTTGCAACAGTGGCATCCTATTACAGCACCACATTCAAATTCAGTGAGCTCTTTAGAACAACCTATTCTTTCAGAAATGTTTTAAAGGCAGACTGCATGGCTAGGTGCTTGATTTTATACACTTGTGGCAAAGGGACTGTATGAAAATGCTTAAGAGGTGTGTAGCAATTCTTTTGCCCATATAGTGTATGTAGGGTCCATTTCACTCGATTTTCAGCTTGCACTGATGTGTTTAGTTCTGCTTCAGTGGCATAGCAGGCTCGCAGTGCTGAACTGAGAGCTGTCAATCACAGGTGCTCATTAAAATAATAGGACTAAGACCCAGACAGTTTTCTCACTTTTAGTATCATACAGACTTTTTTAATATTTGACACTGCGTTCTCTGTGACATTTAGCCTGTAAGTTCTTCTATCTGAGGTCTAGAATCTCTATGTTATCGAGTTCCTTGTTTCTATCTTGATGATAAGAAGCGTGCTGTGCTTTCCTCTGTGGAGATGTCTGTGAGTGTGTTATTGTTAGTGTAGTATGTTGCAAAACAGAAGGGTGAGTGTATGTGAGTCTGCCCTAAAGGCAGGTCCTATATCTCAAAAACATATCAAGCTGCTGTAGGTCTTTACACGCTAATGTCGTCACATATACGCACAAACCTTGAACAAACAATCTAAAAGTTTAAAGGCGGTAAAATGCGCTGGGCCAATGTCGGGCCGCCAGAATGGAGAATCCTAAAATCCTCATACAGACAGCGCCACTAAAGAACATGTGCATGGAGTGCCTAAACAACCTGCAGCACTCATAACGTCTTTGGTGTTTTCGTGCTCCACAGCAAGTGGGCGCAGTAATGGCCACTTTACCCGGAGCGATTCCAGGAAACAACACTCTAATGCACAGGTGGTCCCCGGTCAAGCTGGGATAGAGGGGTACAGCCCATGCGAAGTTACACCACAGCCAACACACTACTGTTTTTACACTGCAGCTACACAACTCTTTTTTTTCATTTCCCAGCCCATAGCAGCAAATAAGCGACTTGAGGCAGTGTGTTACAGTTATTTTAGCACATTTAAGGTTGTAGCGCAAGGTCTCTTATGCCTTATTCCTTGATTTTACTTAAGTCTTGTAAAAATGTACTCAGAAAGTCCTGGAGAAAAAGTGTAGTCAGTACAATACATATTCTCAGTGCCTGGTAGTAGAAGTGGCAGCAGTGTAGTGGCAACTGTGCAGTTCCACTCACCTCCAGCAGGGCAGCAGCAGGGTCCCCCTGCAGACTCTTCCCCAATTTGTCCACCTCGTCCAATAAGAAGACAGGATTGTTGACACCAACTGTCTTCAGGCCATTGATGATGCGGCCAGGCATGCTCCCCACATAGGTTCGCCTGTGAGCAAAGAGGGGTGAGGGAACAGAAGAAAAGCAAGAAAACACTGGAGGTCAAATGACGAAGTATCAAAGTGCCAATATTATTGCACTAACAGGGATAATGCTTTAAAATTTCATATATTTTTTCACGTTAGGAAAGGTCTAGCCACCCCTTGAGTTCAGAGAGAATTAAACATGTAGGAGGAACATTAAGCCAAGACGAGTAACATTGGGATTTCTTCCCACTCGTCTGGCTCAGAGGGAGGGTGATCTAGAGAAAAGCAGGCAAGAGATGACACATAATTACAGACATGAGGGGGAAGCAGTGGTGTTATTACAGTAGAGCAACAAACCACTAACCTCTCTTTCAAACAGTGGGCGAGCGAGTACAACAAATACTCACGCAATAAAATAACAACAATGACTGGTTTGGTCTTTAAAGTCTGAAAGTCAGCGGCATACAGCGTCTTCACCAAGCGGCAGTGTTTAGTAGTTCAAAATAGATACATCAAAATGTGTGCGTTTAGGGGGCTTCCGCTGAAACCGCAGGAAACTTATAGGGACTTGCCCTGGCCTGCAGGCCTTAATGTCATACCCTGCCGGTCTCCATAGTGACAGGAGATCAGAAAGAACATCAGATGATGACCTCATGCTGCAGCTCAGGCTGCTGCTTCTCAGGTTCCCTCACATTACTCAGGGTCATATGTAACGTCTCTCTTCCTTGGCCACTGCATGAACCTGCCTCAAGAGAGGGCCTGCAGCTGGATTCATCCATGCAAGAAGGAGAGGTTTTAAGAGATGTTTTACTTCCATTCCTTTGCCACCAAAACTACATTAAGATTCACCTTCATTCACTATGGAACAGACCCTGCAATCCTTTACAGATACCCTTTGTAATTAGCTGATGAGCTGAATCAGATGTTTTAAGGTTCCAAGAAAAACACAGTGTAAAAAATGTAAAGTTGTTTAAGTACCATGTTTTTATGTTGAAATTGAGTGTGTAAACACTACTTAAAAACACCAGACCTGATCAGATCTGACAACTAAGGGTGGGCGATCTGGTAAAAATACATCATCATACTTCAAGACATTTGCATGATACACAGTATGCATCATTGATATGTAGCTGTTCTGTGGTTGATAAGTTAGAATAGGCAGGAAATAACCAGCAGGGCCACATTTAAAAATATTATCAAAACCTATGAATACAATGATTTTATTCAATGTTTCACATGCTGCACTGCACCAAATCCAATTAAACAGGCCTAAGTATGCCCTCTTTGTAATACAACATGTATTTTGTGTTCTTTACAGAGGAATTCCCCTCTTTGATGTGAAATGCTCCACAGTGGTGGTGATAGGAACCAGATGTCTGAGAGTTTTATGCCTCTAAAAGCTCCCTTACAGAAAGTTATTACATGATATGGTTATGAATATACTGCCTGATGTCTGTTACATTGTTTTATGATAGTTTTGGGCCTAAACTACTTTTTTTAAATAAAGATGTACATGCAGGCAAAATAGTTTTTTTAGATTTACCAGTATTTTAACATGATCAACATTACATTCTGCTTGACATATATTTAACTGAAAAGCTACAAAAACACAAAACGTAAATGGCAAATTTGATGCCTGCAACACCAAAAAACTGGAATAGGAGCATGTTTACCACTTTGTTACAGCACCTTTTCATATGTTGTATTTTTAGCTTTATCGCACACTTTTTTCAATGGAGACAGTTCTGGGCAGCAGGCAGGCCAGTGTGGCACCCACACTCTCTGATTACACAGTCATGCTGTTTTAACACATGCAGAATGGTGCTGGTTGGTGTCATCATGATGAAAAGCATAGATGTCCCTGAAAAAGACCACATCTAGAAAGCAGTATATGCTGCTCCAAAACTGTCCGGCTTTAATAGTGGTTTCACACATGTGCAGGTTACCCATTTAAACACTCCCATACCATGACAGAGGCTGGTTTTAAACTTTACGCTGGTAACAGTCCGGATGGTTCTTTTCTTGTTTGCCCTGTTCTTTATTTCCATGAATAATTTGAAAAGTTGAATCATCAGACCACATCAGAACACATTTTCACAGTCCTTTTCAGAAGACCTTTCAGATGTGGCGATTCTAGACTGTTGACATATGACTTTCACTGTGCATAGTACAGTCAAAACGTCTATGATTGCAACTCTAGGATTTATGGTTGTAGTGAGCGACAGTGTTTACTGACAACAGTTTGTCAAAGTATTCCTGGGTCCACGATCTGCATCACAGAAATGTGCCAGATTTTAATGCAGTGCTGTCTGAAGGTTTGAAGGTCATGGGCATTCATTTTCTTTAATGCACAGAGATTTCTCTGAATTCCCTGAATTGTTTGATGATATTATGCACTGTATAGGGTGAAATCCCCAAAATACACGCAATTCCTGGTCAAGAAACATTATTTTTAGACTGTAGAAATATTTGCTGATGCATTTTTCTTTCTGTCTCGACCCACTCTTGTGTCACCTGATTGCATAACTTGTTTCCAATGTTTTTTAAACATTTTACAATATTTCTAGTCTGAAATTGCCCCGTCCCAACTTTGTTGGAATGTGTTGAAGGCACTGATTTTAGAATAAACATATATTTACAAAAAAAAAAAATGAAGTTGATAAAGTAAAACATCACATTTTACCCTTGTACTGTTTTCATTCAAATACAGGTCAAAGTAGATTTATAAATCACTGCTTTCTGTTTTCATGTGAACTTTACGTACTGTTCCAGCTTTTTTGGAATTGGGTTTGTACAAACAATATCCACATGCTCAGAAAAGCATACAGTAATACAATCTAACAATTTATCACAAATACGACAAATATTGTCCATCTGCCATGAGCATGCTTGATTGACATCCCTATGTCAAACACACCCAGCCTGCCCTGCTGCTCATGCTAAATTAAACACAACAGAGCTGGAGAAATAAGTGAAACAGGTGCTATATCAAGCGACAGACATGTGAACAGGCAGAAAGGTGAGGTAGCTTGCTAACTTGGTTATGCTGCCTAGTTTAGCTTTTGGTAAGTTGCTCAGACTTGAGGAGCGAGAAATTGTGGGGAATGTTTTAGTTTTGACAAAGCAATGTGGATGGAATTAGCCACCTCAGCTCCGCGACTGGTAACAGTAAAGCTTACGCAAGCTTTAAACAACCACCCACTTTACACCAAAAATTTGGCAAAATATTTGGTTATTTATTGGACACTGGAACATTACTTATAAGGCATGCTTTGTACATGTAAAATGCGTTTCCACAAAAGCATCACTAGCCTGATTAGAAAAAAAAAATAGAAGTGGGTTCCCTGGAGCTTTAAGTAATGTAGAACATTAAATTCTGCAGTGCTTTGGACCAGGAGGCCTGGACTCTGTAATCTGCCTTAGAAGGCACAGAGAGTGTACCTGTGGCCGCGAATGTCTGACTGGTCACACACTCCTCCCAGAGCGATGCGGTGGAACTCCCTGCCCAGGGTGCGAGCAATGGAGCGGCCCACGCTGGTCTTGCCCACCCCTGGAGGCCCCACAAAGCACAGAATGGGGCCCTTGAGAGCGCTCTTGAGCTGCCGCACTGCCAGGTACTCCAACACTCGCCTCTTCAGCTTCTCTAGGGCGTAGTGGTCGTTGTCCAGCAGCACCCGAGCGGCCCGGATGTCCAGGCAGTCTGAACAGAGAGCAATGAAAATGCTTATTTAGCATGTAAAAGTATTAATGTAACAGCAGGTCACTGTCTGATTTGCCAATACACACAAAGGCAGCTGAAGGCAGTCTGGGTTATATGTTAAAGGCATATGAATCATCTCGTGTAACAGAAGACGCACATAGATACAGCTGTTCCATAAACTAAACTTAAACTGGGCTGAGAACTTTCTTTATAGCTTTCACAAATTGTGGAATGTGCCAGTAAGAGTGTTCCTGTTGGAGCAGACCTCTCTGAATTCTACAGACAAAGCACCTTATAGACATACATAAAATTAGAGAAAAAAAGAAGGAAAATAAGTGCTGTGAGTTTCAAAGAGCCTAAATCATTTACATCTCTGCTCTTGTGTACACTGTCAGCTTATCTCTGTGCTGAACAGAAAGTACATTCCACTATATGTCATACCATATATACTTATTGTATCAAACTATATACATCTCTCATGGGACTCTCCCTTGAGAATTCTCGTCCTATGATCTGATACCCATCTGGAACGGTTAATAGAGAGGAATGTATCATGAGTGTGGGTGAGAGCACAAAAAAGAGTGAGTAAGCTGCACTGTATGTAGGAGACACTCTTATTTATTAAGGCCTATCTCAGGGAAAAACAAATTTCCTTCACCTTTAAATAAATTATGCAATAAGTCCAGCCCCAGGGCCAAATGCAGCCTGCGGACAGATTTGTTTGGTCTGTTGCTTCTGTTTAAGAATGAGTTACAAGTGGCCCGAAAGCTAGTATGTTGCAGTTTTTTCTTTAACCTGATAGCAGCAGTACAGTAAAATTACAATGTAACACGCCATACTGTGGTAACAAAGTTAGCTTAAGTTTAAGAGCCTTTCATCTCTGACTAGACCTGCAGCTTTACTAAGTGATATTTAGTCAAGACTACAGCCATAATTTGAATAACTTCTTTTATCAAGAGCCACAGAAATTCCATGAGCCTCATAAAAAAAACACAAAAACTGCAACAATGTTAATATCAATAGACATGAAACAAAGCACTGACACTGAAATAAATATACAGGAAAGGGCAGAGAATCACAAGCAACTGCAAGCTACCCAGGTCTCACAGCAGTGAGTTCTTTCTTATCACACCAAATTCAGTAGCTCAGTTAATATTACCCCTTTAAGGTCGAACAAAAACTTGGCTATTTATGCTGTTTAATCTGCTCTTTTTATTTAATGGTTTCTGACCACGGTTGCTGCATTTATTTGCCAGGTAAAAAAACTTTATTTAACAAAAACAGCATTTTTTGTTTAGTTTGCATTACATATTATATTTTGTAGCACGTAAATACTTGAATATAAATATACTTAATAAATTAGGTATGTTTTATTGTTACGCTTAAACAATTTAATTATTTGTTATTAATACTTTATTATTTTATTATAACTGATCCACTTTGCTCTGAGCAATCCAACTTAGGGCAGCTAATCACGACAGAGGCCTTTTACATATAGAAGTCTTAAAAACACTGTTTAATGCTACTTTTTTTGGTACATAAAACCACACAAATGTTATAAGTGGACATCAGGTTTAAAAAAATCCAAGAGAAATGAGGGACATGGCCCCCTCCTGGCCATGACCAACATTGCAAAAATACAGTACAAGTTCTCTTGTTCCTGTAATTCAAAGGAGTGAAAATAAATTGTAGAAAAAAATCGCCCCCTTGTGGCCATAAGGTGCAGTGCAGACACACAGACAGCACAAGCACTAAATGCCAGTCATGGTGACATTCTGACTAAAGAGAGTGCACTTACAGGACACTTTTGTCCCCAGCATCTCATTCACTAAAAACTTCAGCTGAGGTCAGAGGCTGATTAACAATACATTTTCAAACAATTAACATTTACACAAAGAGTTCAGGGCATTTATCTAGTAAGCATACACAGTAGAGATGGAAGACTACAGGACGCTGCAATATATTACTACAAATACTAAAAAATAACTAACAAAAAGAGAAAGGCAACATTAAAAAAAGATAATGCAGAGTGGTGTATGACCGAATGTAGAAATGCAACGATCCGGGAATTGTGAGCTGAGGCCGAAAGCCAAAGTTTTTAAATTACATATCTGCCAGTGTAGATACTGATGCAGATAGAAAAGCTCTTATAAAATGTAGAAGTTGGGACCTAGAGAGAAATGTATGGAAAAATGTAATATTTCTTTCTTTAGGGTTACAGTAAAATGAATCAAATGGCAACTTTAGCTTATTAACTCAATGCTGCCTAAACATTCTGCTCTTCCAGAGTACAATAAATACATCTTCAAATATCAGTGTGAAATCAAATCTAAACATCAGTTTCATACCGATATTCATAAACAACAACTTGATAAGGACCACAGGAAAACTATAATCTGTACCCTTTATGTAAGTAACTCTGTTAAAACAACCAGAAATATAGTGATTAGTTTGATTCAGTGTAGTGAGACATCATCAACGTTTCAACACCCCCTCAGCTACGCACATCTGTATGCCCTCAGAGATAAGGGTGACTATTTGTTGATACCCAGTGGTTTCAGGATTGTAATCAGTAATAAAAAAATAGCAGTCATAGCAGTTCACAATGACCTTTATCCACCACATGGCCTTTGCCTACTCAATAAAACACTGTCTCACCTGTGGTGCTCTTACTCCACGGCAGCTCCACCATGAGCTCAAGGTAGTTGCGAGTGAGAGCATACTCCGGCATGGATTGAGGCATCTTCTTCAGCCTACATGTGAAAGCATTTTTTAAAAAAGGAATATATTGTTAATTAAAAATTGTTATAATTTCCTGCCACAGTTCAACCTTTCAAAACATTGAGGGTGCAAAACAAAAATGTTGTTAGGCAGAAAAGTCAACAATTTTCTTAGCACCACCTAAGTATAATACTGTACTGTAATCATTTTGAGAATGTGTTGCCACTAATGATGCATCAAAGCACGAAGTACAACTACATGTTCTTTGGTACTTGCTGATACCCATTATGGTACCGTACTGAGTAGCCTACTTGGAATTAAACAGCTGTTATTGTAAATGTGTGAAATGTATCTTAACAGTTAACTTATTAAACTCTAGCTGATTTTAAATGATGTGCATTAGCTAGCTACATTACCTTAGTTACTTTGGATCAAGTAGCGCTGCAGTGAAGAAGAACAAGCTTTGTTTTATGTCAAAAAAGCACTAATGCACAGCTGTAAGTAATTTGTCTTTTTCAGCAACAGTTTCTGTAGCACAGTAAGAGTAGGAATCATATCTGAGGGAAATGCATCTAAGAAGCTCTTGTGAAGTTTTATATCTCATTGGTGTCATTCGTTTGGCTGGTTGAGCTGTTAGTTGAATGTCTTCTGAAGAAATCTTGTTCTTTGGTGACCGACCCTGTATGGTTGAATAGACTATCGTGTACAGACAAAGCCTACAATCTACATATTAAGTTCGGTGTGGAGGAACTCCAATGGCCTGCACAGAGCCCTGACCTCAACCCCATTAAACACCTTTGGGATGAATTGGAGCTCCGACTGCGAGCATGGCTTTCTCGTCCAATATCAGTGTCTGACCTCACAAATGCTCTTTCGACTGAATGGGCACAAATTCCCACAAACACACTCCAAAATACTGTGCTCAGCCTTCCTACAGCCGCAAAGGGGGGGGCCAGCTCAATATTAATCACCAAGGTTTTAGAATGGGATGTCTTACAAGCTGGGTGCGTTGTATATTTGTACACATACTTTTGGCCCTCTGGTGTATGTATGCATGTATAGTGGTAAACTCTGAAATGATGTATCTATTTTTGTGGACTATTTATGTGAAATAACAATTTTATAGTGAGGTTAACACACTATGATTTCAAACTATACACAGTAACTGCTTCTCTCACTGTTTTGAATGCACTGGTTCTGCCAATGCCGACATAAAACAGACGCAGCATCCCACGGCTGGTAAAACACTTCTGTAATAGTTTCATTTTCAACCAGTTGTGATTTGCAAGAGAAAAACATGGGGGTTGTACTTTCTATGTATTTTCTACCCTGTATTAGGACAGATGGTTTGAAGGAAAAGGGGAAGTGTTTGAACATTACATACCGTTTAAGCTCTTTCAGACAAACCCTTAGGGCTGGCTCAGGCATGCCTGCCTCCTTCACTTTCCTCTCCAACATAGCCATGTCATCACCATCCTCATCCTCAGCGTCCTCCTCAAGAGAGAACTGTCGTCCAGGAAACACTCCGCCTTTGCGGATTGCCAGCACCTGCGAGAGGAGGTGGAGAAGAGAAATTACAAGATTGTATAGTGAGCACAGAGAAAGTATATAGAGAGAGTATATAGAGCAAGGTAATGATTCACAGGCCTACCCTCTTGTCATCATCAGGTCTGAGTTTACGAGTCTTCTGAAGCAGTTTGAGCCCCTCAATCTGTCTGGTGAGCATAGGGAGAGTCTTCTTAAAGCGCTCCTCCAAGTCTACTGCATCCAGCACCTACAGTCAACACATAAAGACAAGTGAACATTAATAAACTTTCTAAAGATCACATGAACAAACACATCTACAAGAACACACCCATGAGAGAGAAAATATACTAAGCACGTAAAGGTGTAGCAGTTTTGTTTTGCAGAAACACAGGAAATAGACAGGTTTGCCAATGTATTATTTTTATTTTGGCTGATCTGTGTTGCATTTTAGTTTATGATGTAAATAATGCGAACCATAAAAGTATAGTTAAACTGTATTTAAATGTGGCTGGCACTTCTGCACTGTTTTATGATTTTTTTAAATGATTATTTCAGGCTTTACAGGGTGACTCTCAGTAGTGCATGCAAAAAATCTTTCATAGTGCTGCTTTAAATGCCTATTTGGTCCATTAAAGTGCAAATAAATTTATGCATATTGCAACTTTGGTTAACAGGAAGTACTGAAAATGTGTTAGTGTGTTTCATGTGTAAATTTAGCCAACACAGTGTGAGCTACGAGTTAACTAAAACAGCAATTTGGCAATACAATTTCATGATGAGTGCATCCCTAAGAAAAAAACATCCTTTATCTCCTTATGATGCTCTATGACATCAAACCAAACAAAATAAACAAATAAATAAAGTTGAGACCTGTTGAGTAATTCATTATCTCACAAACTACGTGATTTATTATGCGAAATGTAGTACATTTAAACATTACAACAAAACTACAACAATAACCCAATATTTATAAATGTTAATGTTACCTAATCAAAAGGTCTTCATCGCACACCATTATTGCACACATTTAGTTACAAATAAAGGTAAACCCTGCAGAAGGCGCACCTGGAGCTTCTCTAAGTTGGAGGTGCGGATCATGGAGGCAAGCACATCAGGCAGGGTCTCTCTGGGTAGGCTGTCCAACAGTCGTCTCAGCTTCGCCACCACAGGCACTGACATGTCCAGCATCCCCACCAGCTGCACACAGAGAGGATCCAGCAGAGGATGAGTAAAAGGTGGAATGCATGTTGTTGAGTTATAAGTAGTAAATATAGAAATTGCGTGCATTAGTCCTGAGAAGGTTAATATGGTGTAGTGGGAACATGTCAGTACGTTATTCCGGAGAAGGATTTACCAAAGTAGATTAGAATGCACTTTATCTGTATCTTTATCAAAACCATTCAAATTTGTGAAATTATTCAGACTTCAGGATCATAATATAATTTACTTCAACACACACACACAAGTACATATTGTTGCTGTTATATGAAATTACTAATTAGTGAATTCAGCCACTTTAAGGTTTGCTTACTATCACTGACACAAGTGTTCAATTGTATGCACAAACAGTTTGTATAATATCCATAGAAAAGCACTGCCAATAGAACAGGATGCTCTGGAGCAGCCACACATGAGCCTAAGGTCACTATGGCCAATGCCAAGTGTCCACAAGGAGCAGTGGAGCAGTGGAACAGCATTCTCTGGAGCGATGACGCATCACCCAATATCCTTAGAATGAGCTAAACTGCTGTTTGAACTAGTCACCCACCATCAGTACCTGGCCTCAATAATGCTCTGGTGGCTGAACGCAACCAAATCCTCATAACAATGTTCCAAAGTGTAAAGCTTTCCCAGAGGAGGGAAGGGGGGGCCAACTCCTACTGTAAAACTACTACTGTGAAAAACACTGCAAAAAAACGCAGAGGAAGAGGCTGAATGGATAAACAATTGGTAATTGGTTGCCACGTAATGAGCGGATTTGCACATTCCGTCCAACACAGCAATCAGGGTTCAGTCCATCTAACAGGAGACACATTTGACTACCAAGTGTAAATGCATTTGGATAAAATCTGATCAGGATACAATCCAGATACTAATCATATGAAGTGACCAGGTGTAAACAGGGTCTGTGTGTGTGCACAGAGGTTCAATGTCCCACCTGTACTGCAGCCTGGTAGAACCTCTGAGAGAGTTCTCCAAGCTCTCCGTCCAGCTGCTCTCCCTCCGTGTACTGCTCTAGTCTGTCCAGCTGCTCCACCATGGCCACAGGGAAGGGCCGCTCCCTCAGCAGCTGCAACACGCGAAAGCGACACAGGCCAGTGATGAGCAGTGTGTAGTGCGGCTTCGGCCAGTTACTGCCAACTACCTGGACCGCCAGCCCCGCTGTACCGATGCTACAAAACACAGAGCAAATTAAGCATAGCATGTGCAACCATGACATTTGAGCTTGTTTGATGGTCCATGCTGTTTTATCTATATCCATTTCAAGTAAAATATGTTAACAGACACTTTCTAACTAATCACATAATTTTAGTTGCTACAGAAAACTGATGAGATTGGTCAAAATGGTGAACAGATCATGAAAAGTTACAGATATTCCGATGTGCAGCTCTCAAGTACCAAGTCTTAGGGCCTATTTTCAGTAGGTTTTCCTCTCTGCATATATATTTGAAGGAATAGTAGTGGTCATCTTTAGTAACAATTATGAATGGGGCAAGTACATTTTTACAATGTACACTCTAGTAAAATACACTATATGCCTCAAAGTACACCCCTTTTAATTAGTGATACATAATACAGCTACTTTAAGGTACACTGTTGCTGACAAAGTTGTTCAATTGCACAAAGACAGACTGAAGAATTTGCACATAAAAGCCCTGCTGATAGAATGGGATGCTCTGGAGCAGCCGCATACGAGCCTAAAATCACCAAGCCCAATGTCAAGCACTGGCTAAAGGGGTATAAAGCCCCCCAGCACTGGGCTGTGGAGGAGTGAACCTGTGTTCTCTGCAACACTGAACACCTTGGATGAAGTAAAGTGGTGTTTGTGATGTAGAACTGATCATCCGACGTCGGTACCTCACTATGCTTAACTGGTTGAATGCATTCAAATCCTCACTGCAATATTCCAACATCTATTGTAAAGCCTTCCCTGAAGAGTAGAGGCTGTTACTGCACTAAATGGGGCCCTTTTGATTAATCCTCGATTTCAGGAGATGAACAGATGTCCACAGACGTTTGGACATGCAGTGTATATAAAAATGTTATACACTTTTTCTTTATATTTTTGGACAGTGGCAAATCTATTATGATTTTAAGTGCCCAACTTTCCTTGAAGCCTAGTCGATAAAGTGAAAGCATAAGCTTCAACCTTTTAGAAACAATGAGAAACATATACACTATATATTATTTTGTACTTTTATGTACATTTAGGCTAGGTCTTCTGAGACTATGCAGTTTATAGAATTAACGTGCGTGTTTTGGTAAACTAGCCTAATTTTTTTTTTTTTTCCATAGGCTAACCGCACTGTTTTTGTGTGGCAAATTACATGCACAATGACTTCAAAAATATATTCAAAATTCAATTTAATTAGATTTTTAGCAAAGATATGAGAATCGCTCTTTACCTTCCATCACACACCTTTTAGTGGAAAAAATGATATATGCCTTTACTAGGGCTGAGCAATATGACAATATTTATGGTTATCGTGATAAATTTCATCACAATATGTCACAATAAGCTTTTCTGAGCATATTGTGGATATCAACTGTACTTAAAAACACTCTCTAAGCACAAGTTTGATCAGAAAAAGAGTATAATTAGTCCTGTTTTATTAGATTTGCTGCAGCACAGTGTGTGGAAAAGTTAAATACAAGTCACTGTATTCATAGTTTTTGACCTAATGTTTAAATGTGGCACTGGTGTGTCTGTCGGAAAAAAATGTTGTGACATTTTGTGTATTGTGAAAACTTCTTTAAGTATTGTGATATCGCATTTTTGCCACATCGGCCAGCTCTAGTCTATTGCTTGAGCACTGCATGAGCAATAAAACGAACATTTAAACAAGAAAGAAACAAATAAAAAGTTAATTTAAGAAAGAAAGTGGCACAATCAATATTTAACAAATATTGATCAGGCTCAGCAGTGAGTAGGGCTGTTGGCATTTACCCGACATTACAAAACAGTACTGTAACTCTGAACTGTCCAACTGGGTGAAACATGAGGTTAAAGTCCGTCAAGGGCAAAAAAGATCTTTCCAGAACCAAAATCACAGCCCATACACCAGCTGTGGACATGATGCTCTTGTTATAAAGACACATGTATGCTTGTGGTTTAAGTCACAAACAGAAACAGAAACCTGACGTTATTACATTTTACATATTATATTACACGTCATTTGTCAGCGTTGTAATATCTGTGATATAACGCTAACAAGTTTCCTCCTGCGCTGTTTACTAACACTCTGGCGAAGCTGAAGTTAGCTAGAGCTAGCTACTTATTCATTCGAATTTCCAGATCCACCTTAAATGGTGTTGCAGTTACATTACGGTGTTTCTAACGCTCCAGCGTGTAACTGCTGCACCATTTAAGGTGGAACGGATAATTAGAATGAGCAGCGAACTTCTGCTTCGCCCGCTTCTGTCACCCCAGCAGCAGCTAACCATTAGCCAGCCTGCTAGCCTGACAGCTAGCCGAGCAGCGTTGCTCCGCTGGAGCTCCTCTCTCCTCCTCACCTGTGTAAGGAGGGCAGCTCGTCGCTGTCGTGCTCGGGGTCTTTAGTGTTGGGAATGACTCCTATGATGGTGCTTTTTAGCGAGGTCCCCTTCAGCAGCCTGCTCTTCACCAGCTGCATGTTCCGCGCAGAGTCCACGCTGAATCTGGTGGTGGAGCCGGGCAGAAGCACTCCTTCATGGGTCAGCAACAGAGGCAGCCGGCTGGGGATCTGAATGCCGCCGTTGGAAGACATTGCGCCGAGTTTGTGTGCCCTTTCAGTGAACTGCACGGCAGTGCCGGCTACAGTGAACTGTCAGAGACCGTCAGGTGAGCTGCTAAGTTAACGCTTACGAAAACAACAAGAGTGCAGTACGGCAAACACGCAGGGACAAAGTTTGTGGAGAGAATATCAAACCCCCGCTGTGGCTGTGGGGTCTCTAGACCACAGAACCGAGGAGGAGCGGAACACGGTGTTCTTACAGTCACATAAGGATCAACACACCAGTTCAGAAAACTCTCAGTTTGTACTCCATTATATTGTTTTGAATGCAAGACTAATTAACATAGTAGATAACGATAGTAGATAAAATTTAATACCTAAAATGAAAAAAATACTAGTTTAAAAATGTGTTTAAATGGCATGAACATCATTTCGACTTTCTGCTTTCTTGACGTATGTATGTTCACTACTGCTGACAACAACCGGCTCTTTTAATCTGCACTCTTTTAATGGTCAGTGAAGGATTACACAGAGGCCTCTGACTGCCAGGGGTCTTGGAGGACCTTAGACTACAAAGTCTGAGGCAGCTCCAGGACTGAGGAGAGTCCACAGGCAAAACAGCTTAATAGGTAAACTAACAGTCCTTCAATATGTAACAATTGAATGAATTAGCTACTAATTTACCTCCTGCAAATATAAAGTGAACAGCAAGCCCCTCGGCCATACACAAACAAGCACGTGCAAATGTACACAGTAGTGTAATTTTTTGGGTGAGGGGGATGGGAATCACTCTGGGAAACTGGTGCAGGGGGCTCCCTAAAATCTTCACTTTTTTCTGCAACTGTAATTTAATAGCATGGAAATTGTACGAAGAAAGGACTTTTATTATATTCAGTGCTCAACAAATCGAAAAATAACATTTTCATTGGACAAATCACCTGAGTGTTTTTGTTAATGAATGTGATATACTGTAATGTGTTACAACACATTCATTAAGTATTTGTGGCTTTATAGACATAGGAGAATTTGTAGCTTATTTAACTTATCATGTAATTAACAGGTATGTTTTGTGTATTTCAAACAAGGTTTTAATAAAACTGTTGCTCTTAGGTGATATTGAAATGTTTTTAATAGGAATGTAAGTAAACATACATATTGTTCTTTAGATTAGTTCCTCTATATTAATGAACGATTGTTACATTGACTGTACAAAATACAAGTATGATATGCTGTTGTGCTGATATGAGTTCATGCTGTGAACTGCACTTTTACTAATGGCAAACAAAGACTGTAGTATTTTCAGTGTTCGCTGTACAGGCTGCATAACATACTTCAATAAAACTGTTTTATACTGCATCCTACTGCAGTATAACTGCGGTTAATTTCATAGTCCATGCAGTTTTTTTGTAAGGGAAAATTCATGTCATTTCAGTGAGTCTACACAGACGTGATTGAACCATGACAAAACAAACCATAACATTGGATATGGTTAGGTTTCATTGGTGTCTTTAGTGTGAATTTCCCTTTACTTGAACAATTTAGTTAAACATTGTCAACATTCATTCCACCACAACCCCCATGTTGTTTTTGGACAATATGCTGCTTAAAGGGAAATTCCACCAAGTTTTCCAAATTTCTGAATAAATGAGTCCTTGAAATGTAAACAAAGTCATTCAGAGAGGTTTGATGTGACGTATAGCCATTTTAATTGCTATACAAAACCCCCACTGAACTTACACGTCTTCTGAGGTTTTGTATGTAACGTTGTTGATGGTCAAATATTCATAAATCTGAACAAATAAGTTTACTTTGGGAACAATGTTGCCTCTCAATGCCCTGCACATACCCCTCTGCCAAGAACGGAGTAAAACAAATGGATTAAAATACATTTTTATGTTACATTTCACGTTTCACTTTGTTATTTTTGCGCAACTCCTCCGGTCGTAGTTTAAGGCCATTACTGTGTTAGATTTCAACATCAGGTCGTCACTTGTGTGTGATGTTGCTCGTCCTGCAGGTTATTGTTTTACAGTATTGTTCATTGTTTGCTGTGAATCTATTCACGCACAAATCTGTACCGATTCCAAGCTGCTGTCGTGAGGCAACAGTCTTGAATCTTGAATCTGAAGCTGTATTGTAAACTGTACTATTAAGAAAAAGAACAGAAGGGGGCGACAGAGTTAAATTTATTTATTTTTTCACAATAACACGATAGTTACCAGAACAATCTATAGAAGTCTCCAAATAAATAACTCAAATACACCGTATAAAACATAACATAAATTTTGCTCATCTTAAAAAAACTTTTACCTAAGACAATATCATTTAGGCACAAACTGACGTCAGCAGTAAGCCTACATCAAAGCGTACAGCGAAGGCAGTTAAGTATAGAAGAATTTGCTGACTAAGCCAGCAGTCAGCCAGACATCTGCATGCAGTTTATACATATAAAAAAAACTCTACCAGTCGCTTATATTACCTTTACAGTATCTCAAACACTAACAATTATGTACTGTTTTGGCGCACAGCATCAAGAGCATCGTTAAAAAACACCAATAAGGTATTTTTGGCAGTGTCAGGGAGGAATGTAAATGGTAGAGTTAGCCATAGTCATGGATGTTTCTAATTAGAAATACAATGTTCATAGCTGCTCTCTTCCAGAGTGGACACACATGTATATGTGGGCATATTTGAACACAATGCTTATAAAGCAGAAGAAAAACAGTCTTTTTCTTGGAGGAGTACTGCAGGATGGATGGATGTATGTAGGAACGGATGGATGGATGAACGGATGGATGAACGGATGGATGGCTTGCATGCTGGGAAGCAGCTCTGTGAGTCTATAATAAACATGTTAGGTGCTAGTGGCCTTTGCATGTTTTCCAGCAAAGAACCCCCGTTTGGCAAGTAATATCATTATAACGAGGAGCAGGACAAAAGCAGGCCATGCACACCACCACACACTGTGGGTGACCCACCCAAACAAATAAAAAATACATGCAGAAATGGCTCCACCACTCAAGTCGGCTGAGGTGTTGTTCCCTTTCGTTTTCGCCAGTGAAGGATGTTGCAGTCTGGTAAGGGACAAAGAGAAACAGCACTGTTAAGCTTTACTGGACTGTAATTTTTGTCATGGTACTTTGTCACTATCACTGGAATGTTATTAAAAATACATTATGTCATTAAAAAAAATAAATAATAATAATAAAAAAGGAATTAACTTTTAATCAGTGTTCATTATAAGTAAGACCTGTGCCTTAGAAATTGCGCCATTTGTCACAATATGACAGCAACAATATAAACGATGATGGCCAAATGCATTAAAGTGTAGACTTTTCATTATTTAAGCAATACTCGTATCCAGTAACTATTACCAATTATTCTGAAACTATTGCACAAGGCATGTGGTAATCAGTAAGGAATGAAAGTCTGGACTTGTTAACAAGTCCTCACAGTTTAAGGGGGTTGTAACATGGATGCCTTTGTAAACCATGCTGTAGACCTTGCTCCAGACTACATCCAAAAACTAATTACATGGTGATCACTGTCTGTGGTCATGCTCAGACGTCACTCATGAGTCTGCGCAACATGTTTTGGAACGAGTGTGTGCCGGAGGGTGCTGAATGCGCCGTGGAGGGCCAGTGGAGGCAAGGGGGTCGAACACCTCCACATACCGCTTAAATCATGCACCGCCAAAATCAGATTCTGGCAGCATCAGTCACACCCATCTCACTTGTCATAGAGGAAATGTCGTTGACTCAATCCCCCCAACATGTGTTCCCGCTCACCGAGCACGATGGTGGTCAGCCACAGGCTAGCAACGTGGAATCGAGGACCTGTGGTTTCATACCACAATGTTGCAAACACTGACCGACCCGAGCATAACAACAAGGCCTTAGGACATGGTGGAAGTACCCGTCTCATCAAGGCTTTCTCATTATACTCAAGAAACCTGTTTTTTGTTTCAGAGTACTGTAAATATGAGTGTAAACTCAGCAAAGAGTGGTTCACTTCACAAATTCCTGTGGCTTAGCAATCTTCTGAGTGATACTGTGATTTTCTTTACCTTATCATGAATACTATTTCTTTTCATTTCATGTCTCAATTTGTACTACAAACCTCAGATTTGAAGTCAACAACACTCTCCCTTTACTGTCTAACCAGTTTAGCAAGCTTTCACACAAAGGATAACTTAGGCCTGTAGATCAATATGACTTAAGTAAATGTCCTCACTCGTGTAAAATGATATACAAAGGACAATACAGAAAAACGAGGGAAATGCTGCTTTTATGAGGCAAGGATTTCTACTGAAACTCTACATCAAACAAGCAGGATAAGGCTATAGGGCAGTGTGGAGAAGCAAAAGTAGGGGGTGCCCAAACCTTTTGACATAATGGGCCAAAGTGCAAATATTTGTGGTGGGCTGAGGGGTTTTAAATCAAGGGTTAAAAATTTTTGTAATATTACTAAAATATTTCAAAATGCAATTTAAAAAGGAAAATGAGAATTTAATATATTATTTTGGTGTAAAATATGGCCACAGGCCAGACATTTAGCAGCCTTAATCTAGAACGTTCACTTACAGTCATAATCACTCCCGTCTCTTAAGAAGCATTCTTTGAACAGGCAGTGCATGGTCCGATAACAGTTGTCCAGTAAGGATTTAGGTGTGACGGATCTCCATCCTTGATAGTTGGTCCCAAGTAAGCGACCCCCGATGTCCTCAATGCTGTCTGGTAGTTCTATCTGTGTCATACACACAAACACATACACATCATCATTATCAGCAATACTCATAAACAAGCATGACCTTCACCCTGAGCTCATGTAAAATGCGCAACATCAAAATTTGGGTCTTACAAGTTTCATCAAAATAGTTACTGTATAAAAGAACTTATCATTACTGTCAAAAAAAAAAACTTTGTATCTCTATTTTAGTGTCTTTTTAATTGTTTTGTGGAATTTGATAAGCCTCATACTCTGTTCAAAACTACTTGGAACAAAATCTGCTTACATTAACATACATAAAGAGCTGATAATGTTTTTTCATTTTCCTGTAAAGTGGAGATTTTTGGTTTTGGTTTCACAGTGACAATATTAAGCCTCTCTCTATACCATGAGCCAATAAAAGAGAAAGAATCTAAGAGGATTCTTATTTTCTAGTTACAGAATGAGCCCTATTATGGGTGATTGAGAATAATTATTCTAAGTGAGGAGAGGCAGTAGGAGGCAGCATGAATGATTCAGAAGGTTGAAACAGCTGCTTAAGAGGGTGGACACAGGCAGTCTTTGTCCTTACTTCTGTGCCGTAACTCTGCTCATAGATCCTGAAGAGGTTCTCAAGAGCTGTGAGGTATTTACGTCGTGTTGGGTGTTTTTCTGGCAGAACCTGCAAAATCCTCTTTATGCCCTTCTGAGCCACTGTGAGCCACAGGTTCTGCAGATGCATCAGTTCCACATCTTCTTCATTCCTCTAGGACAGAGAGAGAGAAGGAACAGGAGATGAGATAGTGGAGAGGGTGTGGCACAGCACAGAAAGAGGGAACATAGAGAGAAATCACTAGAGAGAATGATGCAAGGCAAGAATGGGTGAATGTATGAATAAGTAATAGATAAAGAGGAAGACAGTGATTAAACAGAGGAAAAGATCAAGCTGAGTGTGGGAGGATACGGTGGAGAGCGTGGGATTAAGACATAGTGGTGCAGTGAGTCAGAGTTTAGGGACAGGAGCAGTGGGGCAGTTGCTCACCAGCCTGCTGATGTTGTGCAGTCTGAAGACCTCCTCATAGCGTACTTGAATGGTGTAGTTAATGGGGAAGTTATGCTTCTAAAAATGTAAACATGGACATGTAAATAGCCATGCAATTCAATTTTTAGCTCATGTTAAACAAACAAAAATCAATTTACATTTTTTGTTATTGTTTCCTGCAACCTTAAAAATGATTCCTCAAGCGTTCTTTAGTGAAGTGGTTATATCTAGAACATATCTAGAACTATTTGAATATTCTTTGCATGGGTAAATAGTTTTGTCTATGATGGAAAACCTGGCATATATGGCTCTTTGAAAAATGGTTCTCTATAGCACCAAAAAGAGTTCTGCTACTGCTACAACAAGTCATAGAACTCTTTTTGGTACTATATGGAACCAACTTTGCCAAGACTCTATGATGATAACGGTCACTCTTTATTGTCACAGTTATAATAAAACTTTGAAGTTATCTTTTTGGAGATACAAGGTTTTCTTATGACAACAGCGATTTATTTCAAAATGTTAGGTGCATTTTGTTTTACCATGTATCGTCTCCTCAGGGTTATGTTGAGTTGATCTTTGATGGTGTGCAGAGCATTGCATTTGTCTGACATAACATCCATCCATAATGGTAATATCCACATCAGACCTACAGAGAAATTAAAAGAGATACCAGAAAACTGCATAAACATAGTGGAACTAAATCAGCACTATGGGACACAGCAACTTGTGGGAATTGAACTCCCTAAACTGGCACACGTTTAGAGGCTCAATTTATCCTAAAACAGTCATAGAATACCCTTTTATCCTGCCTAGCATTGGCATGCACCCAGCAGATGACTAATTCAGCTGGAGTTCTAGTAGCAGGACAGTTAAGTAAGTAAAACTGAATTTACTGTCGGACTCTCCCTGGACAAACTGATTATATACTATAATTGCGTCTTGTGAAAGAAGGTTAACAACAAATAAACACACTGCTGGCCTGAGTTACTCATTCTCTAAGACGTTTCTCATTACTTCTCATACAATATAAAGTTTGCAATCAGGTGGTTACTTTAGTTTCTTTAGCAAGCAGAAGTGAAGACGACAACAGCGATCACGACTTCAGATGAAGGCAATGAAACGCAAAAGCCAGGGCAGTAAATTCAGGTGTAATATCTCTTTAAAGGCCCAGTGACTCTGTTGTCACAGCAGATGAAGGATATAAAGTGTGAAAGATAGCAGCTGTCTCACTGAGTTAAAATCAAAACCACAAAACCACTGCTGGTCTTACAAGGAAAAATGATCTATATCAGCATAACACAAAAGCTAACTTGGTTGCCAAGTACATATTATGCACCCAGAAAATTGACCAAAATATTCTATCCCTCCAAATCCCTCCCAAATTCTAGATATCGCATCTCCTCCCTGCAATAAAGAAAACAACACTGAAAATAAACCAAACCTCGAATAAACACTTACAAGCCATAATGCCACAATACAATAACCTCTGCTACATTGCCACACCGTAATTCATGTGTGGTCAGAGGTGCGTTGCATAAGGTGGTCAAACAGGGCTTACGGAAAGTTTTTCTCAAGGAGACTCACGCTGAGAGAAGAAGGATTGAGGCAGTGAGGATTAGATCCTGCATCTATTTTAACGGAGAGGTTTTGATGGTTAAAGATAAGCGATTGTGACTGCAAAGCCAGAGGCTACGAGAGACAGAGAGATGTAGACAGAGTCAGAGAGAGAAAGAGAGAGAGAGACTTCAGCTGGATGTCACTATGCCGTTCGTCGTCGTGTGGTTGGCCCCTGCGGTAGAGCTGTAATTCAGACGGCTGCAGAGACGGACAGTCAGCAAAGTCCCAGAGCCCATGCAAAACACTTCAGAGGGCTGCTGGAATTTGTACGGCCACAGGACCCCGGTCTATATATGGGTACAGACCACTCAACCCCCACACGCTTCTCCCTGAACTCGCTCCCTCCCCCTTGCTTGCCCTCTTTCTCTCCCTCTCGCTGCCCTTTCACTTACATTCAACATCTCTCCGTCTCTTCAGTACAGGAAGTGGTGAGTTCTTTTGAGTTCTACAGAAGCAGGATCTCATACGCACTCTCAAACATACATATCAAGCACATCAAGAACATCAACACGAAAGTTGGCCAAATGCGTAACTGCGTAAACCACAGAAGCGCCCCAAGATCTCTGCTGCAAAATCAAAAATGCATAACACAGTCATAACCTGAGCTTCCTCAATCAGTAATATGAGCCTTCAACTTGCTGATGGACTCCATCTGAATGAATTCAAAAGGCCCACTTGTGTTAGTTCAGGAAGTCCTTCTTCTTCTTCAACCCCTCTTATTACTTAACCCCACCACTCCTCCCCTAACCCAGGGCCCAACTTACCCAGAAGCCCCCTGAGGAGCCAAGACCGGACCATGATTCTTCCGCAATAGCTCTAGACTCTGGATGCTGCAGTGGAATCCAGACAGACTGTTCCAGAAATCAGGCGAGGCCTCCTGCACGTTCAGCCTAAAGAGGCAGGCACAAGGTCAAGCAATGTCCGCAAGAGCACAGCGCATCATCACACTGCTTCAGGGATCCCGACTCTGTTTAACTCCTTGAGATCCTTCTTATGTTCATATGCTAAGGCTTATTATTCAGTGACTACTAGGCCTGTCATGACCGTGACATCTGGCAATTAACTGTCATATAAATAACTGTGATTAACAGTTATCTTTTTTGTTCACTGTATGCCACTATTAAAGGACAATCTTGCTTCTTATCAATCTTGCAATCTTGACAATCTTGCTTCTGTCTTCCAATTGAAGACAGAACCAGCTCCAGCTCAAATAAACAAAAGTTAGTCACTGCTGCCCTCTAAATGCATTTTTGCACCAGGTTAGAAGTTCAATTACTTGCATTTACCTTAATCCAACTGACAAAAATGCACTGAATTCACATTCAGTTTGTTGTGACATAAACATATGATTGTGAAAGCCACCAACTGTGGAAAATAACTGCGGTCAGATTAAATATACCCGCAATCGGCTGAAATAACTGCGATCAAATGATTATATAATAAATGTGACAGGCCTAATAACGACACTGACAGTTCCTAAAAAAGTTACTGTATGGTTCTTGGCTTGGATGTACAATTCTAGGAAAAACCTTTAATATTCTACAAGGTTATCTGAACTTTAAAACTTTTTCACACTCACATCTCATTAACAAAAAAGGTTCTCTCAAGAACCATCCTTTGAAGGGTGAATTAGACAACCAAAAGTGGTTCTTAATTAGTATCACTCCAAAGAACTCTCTGGCACCTTGAATTTTAAAAGTTGAAATGAATGCAAAATAAGTTATTATCATGTTTTAGGTGTGAGGTCTGGAGGGGTTAAGGTCAAAGGGGTTAATCCATATTGTTGCTGTCCAAAAAAACATATATCTCCTTTTTTCGATTTTTATTTTTCCACATCATGTCAACACACTCTTTACATTGTATGAACATTTCATGTTGGATGGACCAATAGAAATGGCCCAAAATGACCTGGAATAAAATCTCTCTGCATTAACTTAAATAAAGAGTTCAGAATGTTTTCACCTTCTCCTGTAAATTTGCTATTGTGGAGATTCATTTTTTGGACAGTGACGATATGCAAATTCAAACAAGACAAACCACAAACACTGCTGAGGATGGAATAAATTAACTTGACCTTATTTCTTGGCTAAAAATCAAATGGTAATGGTTTTCTTTGCTGGATCTTGTTGCTGCAGCTCCTGGAGATGTTTTATTTTTGCTAATACATGTTCAAGTTCAGTGGTTCAAAACAAATCCAGATGTTTTCCCCCACCCACTCTCCCTCTCTGTCGTTCAAGAGGAAAAATAAAAATTCTTCCCAAAGACTGTGCCATTCTGTTATAGGCTACCACCCCAGGCCAGTATACAACTGCCTAGGCCGAAATCCACTTCTACTGGTGAGTCCCACTTACTGTGTCCAGTAAGTTGGTAATAAGTCAATATTTATGTCCAATTTTCCAGATGACAAAAATTCCACAGTCATTTTTTTCCCACTCCAACTCACCAGCTACTCAGAGTCCTCTTCTACTGAAAGCCAGGATATGATGAGCTACAGCCAGGTGTAAACCTTCTGATGCCCAGGCAGGCTCAGCTGGAAGAAAACAGTGTAACAGTTATATAAAGTAGGCTACAACAAATTCACCCGCATTCGTCTTGAGTAATGAACCGAAAAAAAACCCAAAAGGTTCTGTCAAAACTAAAAGAGCTCAGAAGTAAGAGAGCACATTCACTTTTCAGTGAAATTCTGTTCAGGATTAAAAAGGTAGTCAAGGCGGGGCAGAGACGAACATGGATGAAATCCAAACGTGGAATGGAGAGCAGGCGCAGTGAGCAATGGCGGGCACATGTGAGCAAAACGGAATGAAAAGAAAGACAAATTCAGCGGATTCTGTCTGCTAATGCGTGCATAAGGAACGGCCTGGAGAAGCAGCCACTGCGGGAACGCGCCGAAACCGCGCACTGCTTCTTGCGCAAAGTTCAAAAAAAAGGCGCAAGTGACAGAGCAGCACCTGCGCAACACCTGCGCAGCGCGAGAAAACAATCAAACCAACCTTCGTTTCGACGAGCTCAGTGCGCTCTCGACGTGTTCGAGCTCGCGGTGCGTTTCTCTGGAGCTCGTGAAAGTGAGTGTGTCCCGCGCTTTAATGGAAGGAGCTGGCGAACGTGCGGCCCCGTGCTGGAAAAGCCCTGGCTGAAGACGCAGAAGAACGTCGTGGAAACTCCCGGAGCCGCTCCTGCTCACAATGACCCTCTGTGCTCACAGTGGTCCTGAGCTTAAAGACCCTGGGCCCTCCTCCGTACTGCGCCACCAGTCCATGTCAACAGTGAGCTCAGCGCGAATGACTCTTTACTTTCACTTTCGAACAGGTTTTTTTTTCAGTCTGGTCGGAGAGGAAAACTCGGCAGTGCTCTCTCTGCTCTTATCTCTCATAAACCTAACAGCCTGCAGCCCCACTCAGCACAGCCTCACTCAGATCAACGCTTGGCATATAAACATGTCCACACTAGTTTGTCCATCACTGAGTGATGTCTTACCATTGACTTGTGGCTAAAATGTCTAACATTTTTTACTTTTTCAAACACAAGCTGCATTTGCAATTTGGGGGACCGGCCAAAAGCCATGGCTTCACCACAACAGCAAAACTATTCAGACACTTCTGTTCTTGTTATTTAATCTGCTTTCAGTGCATACACCACTCAGCCAGAACATTAGTGACACCTCCTTGTTTCTACACTCATTGTCTATTTTATCAGCTCCATTTACTATATAGGTGCATTTTGTAGTTCTACAATTACAGACTGTAGTTCATCTGTTTCTCTGTATACATTGTAAGCCCCCTTTAGCCTGTTCTTCAATGGTCAAGACCACCACAGAGCAGGTATTATTTGGGTGGTGGATTATTCTCAGCACTGCAGTGATACTGACATGGTGGTGGGGTGTTAGTGTGTGTTGCGCTGGTCTGAGTGGATCAGATACAGCAGTGCTGCTGGAGTTTTTAAACACCTTAGTGCCACTGCTGGACTGAGACTAGTTCATCAACCAAAAATATCCAGCCAACAGTGTCCTGTGAGCACTGATGAAGAACTAGAGGATGACCAACACAAACTGTGCAGCAACTGATGAGCTACTGTCTCTGACTTTACGTCTACAAGGTAGACCAACAAGGTAGTACAACAAGGTAATAGGACACAGTGTTTAAAAACTCCAGCAGCACTGCTGTGTCTGATCCACTTGTACCAGCACAACACACGCAAACACATTACCACCACGTCAGTGTCACTGCAGTGCTTAAAACGAACCGCCATTCATATAATACTTGTTCTGTGGTGGTCCTGTGGGGGTCCTGACTGTTGAAGAACAGGGTGAAAGGGGGCAAACAAAGTATGCAGAGAAACAGATGGACTACAGTCTGTAACTGTAGAACTACAAAATGAATCTGAATGAATCTACTCCAAAATTACTTGGAATAAGATTTATTTACCTTAATTTGTATTAAAAGTTAAGAATATTTTTGTCTTCTCCTGTAAAGTTACTATTTTGGAGATTCTTGTTTTGTTTTTTGTTTTTTTTTGGACAGCAACAATATGGTTAAAAAATGATATTGATAGATAAACGCCACAAATGGATAACATTAGTACTTTGTGGCAAAGCCATTATTGGCAATTAGCTCCAGTACATCTCTGGTGAATAGTTATGAGCTTTTTGCAGCATTGTAGTTCAATTTTAGCCTGTTCCTCTTAGCAAACTGTCTTCAATCCCCAAAAGGTCTCTCTGATAGACTCCATACATTTTCAGTGCAATTCAGGACAGTAGATTGGCCTGGCTATGCAAACACCTTCACCTTCTTTTTAGAAGCCAGTCTTTAGTTGTTTTGGTTGTATGTTTGGGATCATTGTCCTGTGGAAACATCCATCTTCTCCCCAGATTCTGTTTCATGACCAGTGAGATTAAATCCTTGAATATGTCCCATTACATCGCTCTATTCACATAGCTTTGATGACGTAATGCCCCAGTACTGTTTGCAGAGAAGCAGCCCCATAGCATGATGCTCCCACCTTCGTGCTTCACTGTGCGTACAGTGAAGAGATCATACACGCAACCCTTCTCTTTCCAAGCTGAGCTGAACTATTGCCAAATGTTTGTTTAATCTGACCAGAGTACAGTGTTGCAAAAGAGTTCTGAATTGTGTAAAAGCTAGTGTACAAATTTTAAACACGCATCTCTGTGCTTCTGTTTTCAGAGCGGTTTTGTGTGAGGTGTAGGAACAGAGAGATGCAGTTCATTGCTTCATTGCTTGTTCTCTGTGTAACTGTTGTTCCTGCTCCTTTCAGGTCGTCCTGCAAATCTTTTCAAGTGACTGCTGGTTTCTCTCTTACCTTGCTTATCATAAGTCTGACCTTTATATATTTGTAATAGTGTCTGAATATTTTTACCCTATCAATTTTGTTTTTTTATAGATATCTTTGTTTATGTTTATGAACACATACTTTTTTTGTTTATAAGCACTGGAGGTATATAAAATATCAAAAACAAAACTGTCTGAATACGTGTTTAACCCTCACTGTATATGGACACACACTACATCACACTAGTTTCTGTGACTTTGCCTTCTGGATGAATGTGGCCAAACCTTGACAAACCTTCATCAAAACTAGTGTAAACTTGACATGAATCAAGACAAATCCAACAGAAAGCTTTTTAGTGTTTTACTTTGTCCTAAAAAGGTGCTTTTCATTTCATGTATCCTCACATTGGTAAAAAAGTCCCCACCAAGATGCACACACACACGCACATTTCTATCTTTGTGGGGTATTTCCGTTTGCTTCCGTCTTCTTTCTACACCTAATGCTAAACCACCTCGTCTTTAAACGGAAGTCTTGCTGCTCTTCTACGTTTTTAAATAAATGCCAATTTTGATTTAAAAAATAAACAGTATCTAATTACTAAAACATACATATTTCAGTACTATTTTTGCATTTTGTTAATATTAAACCAGAATGTTTTCCACAATGTTTGTACCTATTTATGAGTCTTAGCATGAGCTGTCAGAATTATCATTTGAAATGTGTTTCAGTGTCTTTATTTATTTGTTTGTTTGTTTGTTTGTGATCATTATGTTGTTGGCATGTGTTTTAGAAATGTTAACCATGTTGTGGTTAAAGCGTGGGCGAAATGCTTCACAATATTTAGTTTTTCTGAGGTTTGATAAGATAGAACAGACAAAAAGAAGAAGCAGCACTGCCACTTAAAAAATACTACCAAAAACTACGAATACAATGAATTCTGTTCAACATTTCATACACTGCCCTGCACTAAACCCAGTTAAGCAGGACTAATTATGCTCTTGTTATAATGAAACATAGTTGTTAAGTGTTCTTTAAGTACTGATGGTATACACAATATGCCCAAAAAAGTGTAGTGACAATGTGATGTAATTTATAATAATAAATATTTTAAATATGTCTTATGACCCATATTGGTAATGGGAATTCCATTATTCTATAACACTAAATTAATGGGGCCCACCTTCAAACTTACATCACTATTTCCACAGTAATAGTTATGGTAAACAGAAAGAATTATCACTACTGAGGTTTCCTGTTTTACACATTTGCTCAGACAATCAGGGTCAGAAATTAAAATTATGGAAATGGAATATCCAGAGACCCTCAACTCTGAATCTTAAATCCAGCTCCAGTCCTGGATTTTGGTAGTTAATTGAACTGTTGATGTAACTGATTAGCCAACATGACATACCTACAAGTGATCATAGAATCCGGCATCATAAACTGGATTGAAGGTCTGGAGTTGAAGGCCTCGAGAGACAGTGGAAGTTAAGACTTCAACAAACGAGTGAAAGTCTATTCATATTAGCTGGGCATTGTTATTCCTCCTGCTGTAACCTCAGTGACCATTAACTTCTCTCTCTTCCCTTTCTTCTTTATTTATCCCTGAATTTCACCAGCCTGGCCTTTGCTGCACTTTTCTATTTTTACACTAGCTGTCTATGTGCAGAACACAAAACCAAATATTACCAGATTTAAGATAATGTTGAAGTCAAGTAAAAGGCATTTGTATGATTACATTCCCATTAACAAACCTGGTCTTGAGCTGGAGCGGAGGATGCGTGATCTCAGCACGTATTGCTAAGTTTGAGAAGCTCTGATGACTTTTATTCAGTGTCCATAATTAGAGCTTAGAGACCTTAAATGTGTAAAACAGCTCATTTTTGGTAATGAGAATCAATATTATGGTCATATACAGTTTGTGTAGAAAAAAATCTTTTAAGTTGAAAAATATATTAGGATTTTGCTCTCTGACTTGAAGTCCAAAGAGTGGTGATACTTCATTATTATTATTATTATTATTAGTAGTAGTAGTAGTAGTAGTAGTAGTAGTAGAAGTAGTAGTAGTATTCTTTATAAATCTTAAGAACATAAATCATGGACACTTTTCCATGACTATTATACATGACTATTTGATTGATCTTTTTTCTTTGTTATTGAAACCTATGGGTTTATTAGATATTGTGATATTAAACTCTAACTATTTAATATTATAATTAAAATAAAATAAATTACAACATAACATACATTAATACAAACCCAGACACGATGGGAAAATTAAAATTTTAGCTCAAATTGCTCAAAAAAGCCTAAAATGTTATCTGAAAATATGCAAGACTGACAAAATGTTTATCTTTGAGAACTCTCTCTCTCTCTCTCTCTCTCTCTCTCTCTCTATATATATATATATATATATATATATATATATATATATATATATAAACACAAACAAGTTCAACCAATTAATCAAACAAATTTCCTGCTAAATACATAACAACATGTCTGAGAGACAGTGTGTAACACACCCCGAAACCCCCACCCTACTGACCCCGATATTACACAACTTATTTATGTTAAATTACATTTGTTTATTAATTAGTATAATAGTATATTAAAATAATAATATAGTAACATTGTAATTGTAATGATTTCATATTTGTTCACTGCCACTGTTCTGATGT